TTATTATTAGGGTTGTTTGAAGCCGAAGTACTAGGTTTATTGCTCTCATCCACTAAGGCGGCATATTTACTTTGAGATAGAAGCGTTGTGGGATCCCATGAGTACTTCCTGTTGATTTCCTTGATAAATGTAAAATAAAAATGTTTATAACTGCAATAAGTTTGCACGTTGTTTATCGAAAAGCACTTGTTGAAAAATTTCAATGGTAGTATAAAAATCGGTGCACAAGACTGTAATAACACTAAGAAAAGTTGATAACTTTGAAGGGGATGTTTTGTAGACTTAAAAATATAGGGAAAAACTGATTGGTGTCAAATTAAAATGTTTCTAATCGGTTAAAAACATTCCTACGATGCTCAGCAAGGATGAAAGAATTAAAGAATTGATTTTCATGTTTTTTGGCAGTGTTTGAAAGATAGCAGGAAACAGAAAAAGCTTGTTGGTGGATGTCAAAATGGTACTATTCCAATGGAAATACCTTCAAGATATTGAATAACACCGAAAAAAATTGATCACTTTGAAGAAGATGTTTTCCAAAAACTTTAAATATAGGGAAAAGCTGATTAGTGTTATTGGCACCGTTGCAGGAAATGAATCACTTAGATCATGACAATGTAAGCTTGATAAAATGCAGTTTTGAAATTATTTCTAGAAGCGTATTTCTATATTAATTCTTATCGAATTCATTGATAAAAATGAATTTATATTGCCTTTTGAATTCTTGAAATTGTTGTCATAGTTTCCTCTATTTCTACGAATATTTCTGATCATATTTAAATTTTTTGTTTTTTTTTATCCAATTAATCTCAACAATAAAAATTTTCAAATCAATTTTATATGTTAATTTTTATTGAAACGTTGATTTCTAATTGTTAAGGATGTTTCTTTTATCGAAGTAATAATTATACCTATTTAATTTATACACGTGGTTCATTTTAATTTTTATCCTTCTTCCTTATTTACATATACCTTCTGATTAATTAAATAAGCACGTTTTACGATAATATTAACATATTAAAAAAATAAAAATCTTATCAAATTTCCGAATATACATACATAGGTAGTCAATATTAAATAAATAACGCTATCTAAAAAATGAACCATTTAAATTGTAACTTGCGATTAGAATCGCCAGTTATATTTCAGAGTGCGAAAGTTTTTATAGTTTTAAGTTAAATTTCGGTGAGTGATTTTCCTTTACTTATTCGAATATCGTTTGTGGCTTTATTAGCAAGGTTTACTTCGATTGCACACTTTCCTTTTTTATTTTCGACCCGAAAACGCATTCAAAAGCACTTATGGTTGTTCTGGATTTGGTTGTTTGGGTTCTTACAGATAAGACACTATGAATATTAATTATTTACTTGGTAAATTTTGATGCAATAATGAACATATTTCTTAATATACAGATCTTTTAAAATGCAAAATTTAACCAAGATACATTATTTATTGTAAGTAATGTTTAAATTTTGGTGAAATCGAATCAATTTCGAAATTTAAATTGGTTCATGATCTTAATTAAATTAAACAAAAAGTCATTTACACGTTAATTTTTTCTTTTTGAAATAGTATCCTTTTGTTTACAGCAACTTAAATGAGTTTACAATGTATTCCAAAGTATAAAGACTATTTTCGACACACTTTTTATTACCCATTAAACATTATACACGAAGGAAATGAACGGAACTTGAAAGAACCTGACAACTAAAAGTTTTCGATTTAATTGTTATAACTCGTTTTTAAACGTTTATCATAACTTTAATTTACAATAATAGATGTAAAAAAATGGATATAATGTTTACATTTTAATGTTTTCATTAATACCAGGTAAAAATTTAATAACAACTACTCCTACTATTTATTCTAAAGATAATAATTTGGAACAATTTTATCTTGTTTATCACTTTATGATTACTAAGAATGATAATTATTAATAATAATATGATTCAATTCCAATGACAAATGTATCGATAGCAATCACTCTTTACTCATCGAAACAGAAAAAGATTGTTGGTTACTGTCAAAATGATACTATTCGATTGCAAATGCCTTCAAGATACTTAATAACACCAAGAAAACTTTGAAGGGAATATTTTCCAGAAAATACAAACACTTTAAATATAAGTAAAAATTGATTGGTGTGAATCAAAATGGTTCTAATAGGTTAAAAAGATTCCTAGGATACTTAAAAAGGTTGACTACTAAACTTAAAAAAATGATTTTGCTGTATTTTGATAGTGTTTCAATGATATAAGGAAACAGAAAAATTTTGTTGGTGTGTGTCAAAATTGCACTAATCAATTAAAACAACCTTCAGAGTATTTAATAACAGCGATACATATTGATAAGATTGATAGAGATGTTTTTCAGAAAATTCAAAGACACTAAATATAAAAAATGAACAGAGGGCCTATTTCAAATACCAACTTGATTCTAAGCAGAGATGGGAAGGTTTGAAACATTTGCAAATTAAATCAATGAATCATAATAGTAGCCAATTACCCATACAGTTGCAGAATTCAAATGACATAATTCTTTGTGCAAAGTCAAGATATCCTTGACGATATCCACGTCTGAGGTGACGGAGGTTATTTCCGTGATAAGCTCTTCAATTTATCGATGGGACCTGACTCGGTTGGATGCTTCGGATGTGTTGCCCCACTATATTGGTGAATTTGACGCACATATTGAATTCTTGTTTAGTTGAAAATATTTTTCCTGATCAGTGGAAACGGGCTGTTATACTTCCGTTGCCAAAGAAAAAGAATCCAGTTGGTTATGGGGACGTATGTCCGATCAGTATTTTGCCAACTATATCTAAGATCTTACAAAATCAATCGATCTTTTTCCTTTGTTGGTACTCTTGGACTTCTCTAAGGCATTCGACACCATTGATCATATATTACTTTGTCGCATACTGGGGTTATTGGGACTGGGTCGAAGTGCTGTGGCATTAATAGATAACTATTTAACAGGTAGAACACAAAAGGCAAGAGTTGGTGATCGGGTATCGCAAGAAGTTATTGTTGGTTCTAGTGTTCCGTAGTGTTCCGTCCTGAGACCGCTTGTTTGTGCACTCTATACTTCAAAAAAGTTGATGTTGATGTTTTTTCAAAATGTTTCAAAAATACTAAAAAAATAAAAAAAATCCTCAAGGTGTGTGTCAAAATGGTTTTAATCGATTTTAAACACTTTCATGTTATTTAACAAAGCATTCTAGCAAAAGTATTCTAATAGAGGTGGAGGTGTTCCGCTATTATCCTAAAGACTTGGACACGAAGGATTCAGATCCAATAATTTATTATAGCAATTGGGTACTTAAGTAGCCTTCACCACAACATGCACGAGATTAAAATATGGAAACAAAGAAAGCTCCTTGTCAGCTTCTTATGACAAAACATTAACATTAAAACTATCAAAAAGATTCAATTCGTTAAAATACGAGACAAGTTGATAACATTGAAGAGGATGTTTTCTATAAAATTCTAAAACTTTATATGTAGAGAAATGTTGATTAGTGTTAATAAAAATGGTTGTAATCTGTTGAAAAGATTCATTGGATATTCGACGAGGTTGAAAAATTAAATATATTGATTTTGATGTATTTTGACAGTATTTCAATGATACCAAAAATTAGAAAAAGCTTGTTGGTGAACGTCAAAATGGTACTATTCAATTGGAAGTACCTGCAGATTGTTTAATGACAGCGATAAAAGTTGACCACATTGAAGTAGAAGTAGATAATTTTCAAAATTCGCTATAAAATTAATTTCTTGAAGGATCCTTGTGGAAATATCACCAATTATTAATTAAAGTACCCTCTTTTTAGTGCAAGAAGCCACAAATCACTTTTAGTTCTTGAAAAATAAATTTTTGAAATGACCGATAATTTTTTTGAATTTTGCAATATCCAACGATTAAATTTTAAAAATTTGTATATAATCCATTTCTTGGAATATGAGTATGAAAATTTCCCAAAGTGTTAATAAGAGTGTCCTCTGTCTAATGAACCAACACGATTTGAAAAATAACTTTTAGTTTTTGAGAAAACAATCTTCGAAGTTTTGATAAAATTTTTGATGTTGCAATTTTCATCGATAATATACTAGCTATAAAATTAATTACTTGAAGGATTCTTGTGGAAATATAGCCAATTATTAATTAAAGTATCCTCTTTTTAGAGTTGCTTCGTTAGTTAAATCAGCATCAAAAAAGTTCATTTTATCATTTTGTATCTTAGATCCAAATAAGTTGACATATCTCATCAGCTTTCTTATTAATTTAATTTTTATCCCAATATCGCAATAATGTGAAAATGTAGGGTATCACTTCAGAACCTTTATAACCTTAATGGCCAGATAGATATGCTGGATAACCGTATATCCGGTTTTTTGCAAAATCACTATTCGTTCCATCACTAATATTTAGCGTTTCCATTCAGTCGCTGGTGAGTCATAATCGTAATAATCCAACCACGAAAGTTAGAAGGAACAAAGTTTAGTACACCAAAGTTTCATTAATATCTAAGAACGTTGTCTTACCGAAGATTTATGAAATCTCTCAGTGCGCATTACAAAGCTGGCCAGAGAAGTGAGAAGCTAGTGTGGAGAAGTTAGTGTGGGCTGACCCCTAGTGTGGGTATATTGAATGGGATTTTGTTGTCTTTGTAAAAGACAGTCGTCTTATATAGCTATCTCATAAGCAGAAGTGAGAAGCTAGTGTGGACAAGTTAGTGTGGGCTGACCCCTAGTGTGGGTATATTAAATGGGATTTTGTTGTCTTTGTAAAAGACAGTCATGTTATGTAGCTATCTCATAGGCTTTTTAAGGTTTCAATAACCATGAGGAAAGGTCGATTTGATTTGAAGAATTTTGTTTATTAAGGGCGTAGTTTTGCTTATGGTATGAAGTTCATCAACCATAATCCTTTTTTATTTAATAAGTCAATTCGTTGTTCCTGATTTGACACCAGAATCATTTTAAAGTAACAAGTATCTGAGCTAACTTTTAATGCTTTATTCCAACAGGTCTCCACCCAATTACAGGAATACGAAAAGAAAAAAAAGTAGAAATGTAGTAATATACAAAAGAAACAATAGGCAGTAATGATAACAATTGTAAGATATATGAATACATCAAAATGGAAAAATAGTATTGTACATATAATGAATGGCAATCAAGACGAAAAGGTATATTAGCGATTAATAATTGTGAAATGATCTATGATTTTATTGTTAATGAATGACCAGGTATCGGTAAAAATGTCGCACTCAACGGAAATCTGGTTATAATAACTACACATCAACGACACTGGGGAGCGTTGAGACAACACTGTTCTGTTGAAGTTGCACTTTTACGCACTCTTCTCTCTATATTCTCCGATAGCTGATTAATTGGTGTACAACCAGTTCCAGTCGAAGTTTAATCCATTTTGAGATTGTTATTATAAACCACCAATATCAGTAATAATCGCTGGTGCATCGATGAATAAAAAAGTAATAAATATAGCAGTGGGTGGTCTCAATTGTAGCTTCTTGGTCGTAAGTGACTTTGATTACCATACAGTGCGTCCAGATTTCGATGCTCACCATTGATATATCGGATATTATAAGAGATAGAGCAACGATTAAATGGGGAATATTTCGCAGAATTCAATCCTCGCAACAAATCATATTTCAAATTCATCCTCACTTTTTTCGTTTTTGAGATATTTTGAAAAAACTGAAATTTGCTGATTTTAACTTTTTTATAATAAGCCGTTAACGCCTAATGCAACTGCTTTTAAACTTTTAGATTGTTAAGACACTTTCTTAAGTCTAGCATTTATTTCCACGTTATTAGCACTGTCTTTTGTTTTTCTTATGGCAGCCATATTGGATTTTTGATAAGTTAATAGATAATAGTCCCTAAAAAGAGCTTTTCAATAATGTATAATATGCCTAATAAATCTTTATTTATACCAAAGATATGAACAAAAAATTTCTTCCTCATTTAAACGTTGCTCTATCTTTTATAATAGCCGATATACCAATGGCGAGCATCGAAATCTGGACACACTGTATATTTCGTTTCTCAAATGCTATGTTCATTATGTGTGTTAGATAGTATTTGGTGTGTAACTTATCTGCGATTTTATATCTCCCATTAATTTCTATATTAATTTTTTTATAAACATTTTCATTTAATTCCTTAATATTTTGATTATCTAGGAATTTAAATTCAAAAACAAACTTTATCTGCATCTAAAATAGAAATAAAAATCAACAACACAAAACGTTTATGTTTATTTTTTTAACTTAAAATGTGTACATTTCAACGTTTAAATTTAAACTGTGTACTAAACGAAACAACAATCACTATTTATTCGAAATTATCTTCTAATCTAATCTTACCTTTCACTTTATTTCACTTTATTTCGCTTTAAAACTACTTGAAGTAATCTAAAACAATGAAAAACTTTTAAAAAAATACATTTAATTGCAATTAAACCTTTATCTCATAAACTAGAAAACTTGCAACTTAACAATGATTCGATGTAGTGCTAATTTCGGGGTCGTAGTCGTAGTTGAATAAAAAATCGGCCGATTTGCTTATTTTTGTTATTGAAATCTGACCACGAATTAAATTAGAGACGGTTTTTTCTTAGTTCCGAGTATTACAACAACTCAACAACGGTTGATTTGTTCACAGACACTGATGACGGTTGGTTTGTTTTACTCTGACCTTTACGCATTTTTACAACCGAACACTTTACTTCTATGGAATCATTAAAACTTTAGTCGTCCGTCGATATTCGATCAAATCGATCAAAACAAAACTTATCACCGCAAAAGTTTCAAAAGATAAAAATAATTAAATGAAAGAGATAAGTTTAGAAATTTGTTTCTCTTGTGTTTTAATACGTACTTCGTGAAAATTAAACTTTTTTTTTGTGAATTATAAATTTTGTTTGATAAACTTTAAAATGGATGAGATTTATCGTGATGAAGACGAAGGAATACTAGAAGATCTCCTTCGGGATTGCCGAGGTTTGCCTTTCACTTTTTTCTGTACATTTTATTTTAACGAGAACTTGAGTTTATTTTAATTAAATTAAAATTAAAAAAAGGTTGATTTCGTTTGAGTTAGTTGCGTAAGAAATTTTAAGATGAAAAAAAAAAATAACGTTTTTGTTTAGTCACGTTTTTTTCTAAGTATTGAAGAAACTAGTAGCACATTAACACATTAAAATCGCTTATTCGTTTTGGAAAAATCGTAAAACGGTCTTTACGATAATCGTAATAAATTTTACAACTTACTTAAATATTTGTTTTTAGATAAGATTAGATAAGATTCTTTAACAAATTTTTTATTATAAGATTAATTTAAGAGATTTAAAAATAAACAAGAAAAAGCTTCTTAATATATTGCAGGACTGATTCGATAATATTGTTTTGTGGCGCATATTGACTTTAATCTTGATCTTTGTACTATACTTGAAAAATATTGACTTTAAAGATGGATTTAGTAATTACTCAGGTATATGATGAGTTGCCTCCAACTCATCGCCCTAGTTTACCAACTTAACAAGGAATATTTTGAGAAGATTGAGTTACTTCTCATGCGCTAACGTCAAAACTAACTTTGCAAAATAGGATGAAAGTAATTCATCATCCATTCAAAACACGCAGATAATACAATCTTGATATTTGATATATTATATCATGATCGTACTGTGAATGAAGCAATAAAAAATATTCAAAATTTGGCTTGAAAAATTCAGCACATAAAAGTTTTAGTGTTAGTGTACTAGGAGAATGAAAGTCCAATTAAGTGATGAACCGAGAGGATCATTGTATGGCGATGAAATCCTGAAATCAAGATTTGAACCTAGATTGTCTGTTAGGGAGGTTGTAAATCTTACTAAGTGCTTTCCTAATTCAAAGGTATGGATAATAATTCCTTTATTAACAGTTACTTTTCATTAGTTATGTCAAACCAATCTCAATATGGTTGGGTCAAATCAAGCGGTGCTCTATGCAGGCAACACTTCATAACGTTTGGAAGTTGAGATGGCACAGATAAGAGAGTTGGGTTAGATTGGGTTTGGTTGGGTTGGGTTGAATTTTGTCTTTGTTGCAATCTAACGCAACCCAAACCAACCCAACCCAACTCAACTCTCTTATCTATGCTAGGTATCATCCATCTCATCTCATTTTGTCTTTGTTGCAACTCAACACAACCCAATCCAACTCTCTTATCTATGCTGGGCATCACCCATCTAATCTTTTATTGTCATTATTTTGTTATTGTTGCAAACCAACGCAACCCAACCCAACCCACCTTTCTTATATCAAAATAATAATCTCGACCGACGTCTTCGAAGTCGATTTCTATTTTGTCCAGCACAAGCCGCACTTAAAGATGTCAAGAGTTCTTACTTGCAGAGGCACCATGCTCTCAATAAAGTTTACAACAACAGTGCAAACTTCCTTTGGACCTTTGTTTACCTTTCCTTCTATACAAGTATAGAATATGAAGTTTCATCATATATGACTGTCACAACATCTCTCTGTTTATTGATTCTGATTTTGATAAGACGCACTAGGAAGATGTTCAGAAAGACTTCAATTCTACTTGCTCTCTTATGCTAATTCATTTAATTATACTACGAGTCACAGAAACATCTTGTATAAACAGACCGAAGAGTACAACAGATAAAATTTTTGTCTACATCTCTCTTGCAGAATTTTTCATTTCAAATTAATTGAAACTCTGCGTAAGAATAAACCCTAAATTCTACCCAACCCAAACATTCTTTGTTGCTAATTTGGTATATAAAACATATTTATATCAGTTAATAAGACTCAAATCATTACAGGTTTCAATCACCAAAACGCTATTTTTACAACTTTTGTTAATAAAACCTGTCATAACTTAAAAACTAATGTCGATTCAAGAAAATTTTATGCATAAAAAATCTTGATTATGATCAAAAAAGACAAAATTCATAATCTGTATGTACCTATTCAAGATTATTTTCTAGATACAAGGTGTAAATCACCAAGATCGCGATTTCCATTACTTTTGTTAATAAAATCTTTGGTAACTCAAAAACTAAAGTCGATGCAGGAAAATTTTATGCATAAAAAATCTTGGTTATGATCAAAAAAAATATAATTCATAATCTGTACACACCCATTCAAGATTATTTTCTAGATACAAGGTGTAAATCACCAAGATCGCGATTTCCATTACTTTTGTTAATAAAATCTGTGGTAACTCAAAAACTAAAGTGGATACAGGAAAATTTTATGCATAAAAAATCTTGATTATGACCAAAAAAGACAAAATTCATAATCAGTATGTACCTATTCAAGATTATTTTCTAGATACAAGGTGTAAATCGTCAAGATCGCGATTTCCACTACTTTTGTTAATAAAATCTGTGGTAACTCAAAAACTAAAGTCGATGCAGGAAAATTTTATGTATAAAAAATCTTGGTTATGATCAAAAAAGACATAATTCATAAACTGTACACAACTATTCAAGATTATTTTCTAGATACAAGGTGCTAATCGCTAANCCTAGATTGTCTGTTAGGGAGGTTGTAAATCTTACTAAGTGCTTTCCTAATTCAAAGGTATGGATAATAATTCCTTTATTAACAGTTACTTTTCATTAGTTATGTCAAACCAATCTCAATATGGTTGGGTCAAATCAAGCGGTGCTCTATGCAGGCTTCATAACGTTTGGAAGGTGAGATGACTCATGCTCGGCATAGATACGAGACTTGGGTTGATTTGGGTGTGCAAAACTGTTCAATTTTGTCATTGTTGCAATCTAACGCTACCCAACCCAACTCTTTTATCTATGATGAGCATCACCCATCTCATCTCATTATGTCTTTGTTGCAATCCAACGCAACCCAACCCAACAATCTTATCTATAGAGAAGAGAAATAAATTTCTATTTTATCTAGCACAAGCCTCACTTGAAGATATCACGAGTTGTTACTTGCAGAGGTAAACAACAACAGTGCAAACTTCGTTTGGACCTTTGATACATTTGATACTTACAAGTATAGGAGATGAAGTTGCATCATATATGACTGTCACAACATCTGTCTGTTTATTGATCCATATTGATTCTGCAATTTTTCTACAAAAGATTTTAATTAATTTCTCAAGCACGAGTAGTTCCTGTCATAGTTACCCTTTTTACTGTTTCTTTTAAAATTGCGGGTTTAATTTTTATATTCATGGATTTTTTGTCTACCTCTTTGATTCAACAATATACAATGTTTTCCACAATTTTGATAAGACGCACTAGAAAGTTCTTCAAACAGACTTGAATTCTACTTGCTCTCTTATGCATTCTCTTATATTCATTTAATTATGCCACAAATCTACAAAACAGAATCATCTTGTATAAACAGACGGAAGATAACATTTTTGCTAACATCTCTCTTGCAGAGCTTTTCCTTATCAAATTAGTTAGAACTCTGCGAAAGAATTAACCCTAAATTCAACCCAACCCAAACTTTGTTGCTAACTTGGTATATAAAACATGTTGACATCAGTTAATAAGTCTCAAATCATTACAAACTTTCAATCACCAAAACGCTATTTTCACAACTTTTGTTACAGAATTTGTAACTTAAAAACTAAAGTGGACGCAGGAAAATTTTATGTACAAAAATCTTGGTTATGACCAAAAAAGACATAATTCATAATCTATACACACCTATTCAGAATTATTTTCTAGATACAAGGTGCAAAACACCAAGATCGCGATTTCCGCTACTTTTGTTAATAAAATCTGTTATAGCTCAAAAGCTAAAGTCGATGCAGGAAAATTTTATGCATAAAAGATCTTGGTTATGATCAAAATAGACATAATTCATAATCTGTACACACCTATTCAAGATTATTCTCTAGATACAAGGTGTAAATAACCAAGATCGCGATTTCCAGTACTTTTGTGAATAAAACTTGTTGTAACTGAAAAACTAAAGTCGATGCAGGAAAATTTTGTGCATAAAAAATCTTGGTTATGATCAAAAAGGACATAATTCATAATCTGTACATACCTATTCAAGATTATTTTCTAGATACAAGGTGCAAATCGCCAAGATAGCGATTTCTCGCAACTTTTGTTAATAAAACCTGTTATAGTTCAAAAATTAAAGTGGATGCAGGAAAATTGTATGCATAAAAAATCTTGGTTATGATCAAAAACGACATCATTGATAATCTGTACACACCTATTCAAGATTGTTTTCTAGATACAAGGTGCAAATCACCAAGATCGCGATTTCCAGTACTATTGTGAATGAAACCTGATGTAACTGAAAAACTAAAGTCGATGCAGGAAAATTTTGTGCATAAAAAATCTTGGTTATGATCAAAAAAGACATCATTGATAATCTGTACACACCTATTCAAGATTGTTTTGTAGATACAAGGTGCTAATCGTCAAGACAGCGATTTCTCGCAACTTTTGTTAATAAAACCTGTTATAGTTCAAAAATTAAAGTGGATGCAGGAAAATTTTATGGATAAAAAAATCTTGGTTATGATCAAAAAAGACATTATTGATAATCTGTACACACCTATTCAAGATTGTTTTCTAGATACAAGGTGCAAATCACAAAGATCGCGATTTCCACTACTTTTGTTAATAAAACCTATCATAATTCAAAAACTAAAGTCGATGCAGGAAAATTTTATGCATAAAAAATCTTGGTTATGATCAAAAAAGACATAATTCATAATCTGTACAAACCTATTCAATACTATTTTCTAGATATAAGGTGTAAAGTACCAAGATAGCGATTTTTCGCAACTTTTATTAATAAAATCTATTATCACTTAAAAATTGAAATGGATTCAGGACAATTTTATGCATAAAAACTCTTGGTTATGATCTAAAAAGACATAATTCATAATCTGTACAAACCTATTCAATACTATTTTCTAGATACAAGGTGCAAAGTACCAAAATAGTGATTTCTCGCAACTTTTGTAAATAAAGCCTATTATAACTCAAAAATTAAAATGTATTCAGGAAAATTTTATGGATAAAAAATCTTGGTTATGATCAAAACAGACATAATTCATAATCTGTACAAACCTATTCAATACTATTTTCTAGATACAAGGTGCAAAGTACCAAAATAGCGATTTCTCGCAACTTTAGTAAATAAAGCCTATTATAACTCAAAAATTAAAATGGATTCAGGAAAATTTTATGCATAAAAAATCTTGGTTATGATCAAAAAAGACATAATTCATAATCTGTACNAAAAACTAAAGTCTCTGTAGGAAAATTGTATGCATAAAAATCTTGGTTATGATCAAAAAAGGCATAATTCATAAACTGTACACAACTATTCAAGATTATTTTCTAGATACAAGGTGCTAATCGCTAAGATAGCGATTTCTCGCAACTTTTGTTAATAAAATCTGTTATAGCTCAAAAATTAAAGTGGATGCAGAAAAATTTTATGCATAAAAAATCTTGGTTATGATCAAAAAAGACATCATTGATAATCTGTATACACCTATTCAAGATTGTTTTCTAGATACAAGGGGCAAATCACAAAGATCGCTATTTCCACTACTTTTATTAACAAAACTAGTCGTAATTCAACAACGAAAGTCGATGCAGGCAAATTTTATGCATAAGTAATTATGGTTATGATCAAAAAAGACATAATTCACAATCTGTACACACCCATTCAAGATTATTTTCTAGATACAAGGTGAAAATCCCCAAGATAGCGATTTCTCGCAACTTTTGTTAATAAAATCTAATATAACTCAAAAATTAAAGTGGATGCAGGAAAATATTATGCACAAAAAATGTTGGTTATGATCAAAAAACACATAACTCATAATCTATGCACATCTATTCCAGATTATTTTCTAGATACAAGGTGCAAATCACCAAGATAACGATTTCTCGCAACTTTTGTTAATAAAACCTGTCATAACTCAAAAGCTAAAGTCGATGCAGGAAAATTGTATGCATAATAAATCTTGGTTATGATCAAAAAACACATAATTCATAATCTGTACACACCTATTCAAGATTATTTTCTAGATACAAGTTGCAAATCACCAAGATCGCGATTTCCAGAACTTTTCCTAATAAAACCTGTCATATCTCAAAAACTAAAGTCTATGTAGGAAAATTGTATGCATAAAAAATCTTGGTTATGATCAAAAAAGACATAATTCATAAACTGTACACAACTATTCAAGATTATTTTCTAGATACAAGGTGCTAATCGCTAAGATAGCGATTTCTCGCAACTTTTGTTAATAAAACCTGCCATAACTCAAAAACTAAAGTCTCTGTAGGAAAATTGTATGCATAAAAATCTTGGTTATGATCAAAAAAGGCATAATTCATAAACTGTACACAACTATTCAAGATTATTTTCTAGATACCAGGTGCTAATCGCTAAGATAGCGATTTCTCGCAACTTTTGTTAATAAAATCTGTTATAGCTCAAAAATTAAAGTGGATGCAGGAATATTTAATGCATAAAAAATGTTGGTTATGATCAAAAAACACATAATTCATAATCTGTGCACATCTATTAAAGATTATTTTCTAGATACAAGGTGCAAATCACCAAGATAACGATTTCTCGCAACCTTTGTTAATAAAACCTGTCATAACTCAAAAGCTAAAGTCGATGCAGGAAAGTTGTATGCATAAGAAATCTTGGTTATGATCAAAAAACACATAATTCATAATCTGTGCACACCTATTCAAGATTATTTTCTAGATACAAGTTGCAAATCTCCAAGATCGCGATTTCCACAACTTTTCCTAATAAAACCTGTCATATCTCAAAAACTAAAGTCGATGCAGGACAATTTTATGCATAACAGATCTTGGTTATGATCAAAAAAGACATAATTCATAATCTGTACGCACCTATTCAAGATTATTTTCTAGATACAAGGTGTAAATCACCAAGATCGTGATTTCCACTACTTTTGTTAATAAAATCTGTCATAATTCAAAGATTAAAGTCGATGCACGAAAATTTTATGCATAAAAGATCTTGGTTATGACCAAAAAAAGACATAATTCATAATCTGTACGCACCTATTCAAGATTATTTTCTAGATACAACGTGCAAATCACCTTGTATCTATCTAGAGGGATCAAACTAATTTAAGATTTATTTCTTTAATTTTTTTTTAACAATAATTGAATTATATTTAATCTAGAATTATTTTCTTCACAGAAATGAATCCAAATCAAAATGACGCAGAAGAAGACGAAGACAATGACGTTGTAACACGAGCAATCGGAAGTTTTGGAAAATGGCAATTACAAATGACCTTTTTATTATCCCTTTTCAATATCCCCTGCACATTTCACATTTACTCACCGACGTTTTTGGCGAATCAAAGAAAAACGTGGTGCGCTCGCCCGGAAGAATTTCAAAATATATCCGTAGATGATTGGATAACTTACACTCAACCGAACAAAGACAACGATGGTCATTGTTGGATTTACGATTTGACTGGAATTAGTAGTTTAGAAAATATCACCCCAAACTTGCCGTTGGTTGCTTGTAAAAATTGGGAATTTGAAGGAGGAGGTAAAACATATGTTGATTTTGGTGTTGTGTTTCAATTTATTTCGATTGATTAAGTTTCGTTCTTTGATTTCAATTGGAATGACGCTATTAGTCACAGTTCAATTAGAATTAAAACTCACCACGTCATATCTGATTACTTTGTTATAATTATTTTAGGAACAACGATAATAGAAGACTTTTCATTGGTGTGTAATCGAAGATTCTTAAATAATATCTCGGAAATGATGTTTTTAGCTGGAGTAGCGATCGGTGGATTAGTTTGTGGCTTTCTTTCGGATAAATTCGGAAGAAAAAAAACTTTAATGTTTTCTGTTTGCGGCCAAACAGCTTTAGGTACATAAATTAGTAATTTATAATTTAATTTTTTTAAATTTTTGTTATCTTTTAGGAATCCTAATAGCTTTCTCACCATGGTTCGAACTTTATTGCATCCTCAGAGCCCTCCTCGGTTTCATCTCAGTTTCAGTCGTTTTCAGCGGATTCGTTCTCTCAATCGAATTAGTTAGCGGTCGTTGGCGAACCATTTCCGGCCTTGCATATTTTTTCCCGCTCTCTTTAGGATACGCGATCACCGCCGGAATCGCTTGGTTACTAAGAGATTGGCGTCATTTTCAATTAGCCATTTCTGTGCCTGGGATACTTTTTATGGGATTATATTGGATAATCCCAAAATCACCGAGATGGCTCTTAGCAATGGGTAAAACCGATGAAGTTATACCGATTTTGCAACGCGCCGCCAAAATTAATGGGAGAACCGTGCCGGATAATTTAGAAAAATTAATGATGGATGATAACAAAGGTGGCGAAGAGCCGAAAGTTTCCGTTTGGGATTTATTTAAAACTCGGGAAATGACGAAAACGACGATTTTGTTATCGATTATTTGGTTTGTGGTGTACTTAATTTATTATGGAATTACGTTAAATATGCAAAATATTGGTGGAGATATTTATATTAATAGCGTAAGTATTGAAATTTATTTCTGTTAACGAATTTATCATAGCTCAAAATCTAAAATTTGTGGGAAGAAATGTTGTTCATAAAAAATGATCATAATGGTCTAAAGAGACGTAATCCACAACTTGTTTAAACTTAGCTCCTATTATTTTTTTTTAATACAAGCAAATATGCCCAACATTTCAAAATGAACGATTTCTGTTACTTAAACTTGTTATAGCTCGAAAGCTAAAATGGATGTAAGAAAGCGTTTTGAATAAATAATCTTTATAATGATCATAAAACACATAATCCATAACTTATTCAATTCATGCTCTTACAATTTTCTAAGAATAATGCAAAAATCTCGAAAATATGAAATTGTGCAACTTTTGTTGATATGATCGATTCTATCTAAGAAACTAAAATCGATCGAGTTAAATGTTGTACATAAAAAATATTGGTTATGATCAAAACATGCATAATCCATATTCGGTGCAACCCTATTCAATATTATTTTTTAGATGTAAGGTATTAATCACCAAAACCCTATTTTCACAAGTTTTGTTACCAAACTTGTTATAACTCGAAAACTAAAGTCGATGCAGAAAAATTTTATATATAAAAAATTTTGGTTACGACCAAATAAGACATAATTCACAATCTATACACACCTATTCAGGATAATTTTCTAGATACAAGTTGCAAATCACCATGATTGTGATTTCCATAACTTTTGTTAAGAAAACCTGTAAAAATTCAAAAGCTAAAGTCGATGCAGAAAAATATTATACACAAAAAATGTTGGTTATGATCAAAAAAGACATAATTCATAATCTGTACACAACTATTAAAGATTATTTTCTAGATACATTTCTAGATCACCAAGATCGTGATTTCCACTACTTTTATTAATAAAACCTGTTATAACTCAAAAGCTAAAGTCGATGCAGAAAAATTGTATGCATAAAAAATGTTGGTTATGATCAAAACATGCATAATCCATATTAGGTGCAACCTTATTCAATATTATTTTTTAGATGTAAGGTGCTAATCACCAAAACCCTATTTTCACAACTTTTGTTACAAAACTTGTTATAACTCAAAAACTAAAGTCGATGCAACAAAATTTTGTGCATAAAAGATCTTGGTTATGGTCAAAAAAGACGTAATTCATAATCTATACATACCTATTCAAGATAATTTTCTAGATACAAGGTGCAAATCACCAAGATCGCGATTTCCACAACTTTTGTTAATAAAACCTGTCATAACTCAAAAGCTAAAGTTGATGCAGAAAAATATTATACATAAAAAATGTTGGTTATGATCAAAAAAGACATAATTCATAATCTGTACACACCTATTCAAGATTATTTTCTAGATACAAGGTGCAAATCACCAAGATCGCGATTTCCACTACTTTTATTAATAAAACCTGTTATAACTCAAAAGGTAAAGTCGATTCAGGAAAATTTTATGCATAAAAAATGTTGGTTATGATCAAGAAAGACATAATTCATAATCTGTACACACCAATTCATGATTATTTTCTAGATACAAGGTGCAAATCACCAAAATCGCGATTTCCACAACTTTTGTTAATAAAACCTGTCATAACTCAAAAGCTAAAGTTGATGCAGAAAAATTTTAAGCATAAAAATCTTGGTTATGATCAAAAAAGACATAATCCATAATCTGTACAATTCTACTCAATATTATTTTCTAGATGCAAGATGCAATTCACCAAGATCGCGATTTTCACAACTTTAAAAAAAAAACTTGTTATAACTCAAAAATTAAAGTGGATGCAGGAAAATTTATGTATAAAAAATCTTAATTATGATCAAAAAAGACATAATTCATAATCTGTAGAATTCTACTCAATATTATTTTCTAGATATAAGGTGAAAATCATCAAGATAGCGATTTCTCGCAACTTTTGTTAATAAAACCTGTCACAACTCAAAAGCTAAAGTAGATGCAGGAAATTTTTTTGTATAAAAAATCTTAATTATGATCAAAAAAGACATAATCCATAATCTGTACAATTCTACTCAATATTATTTTCTAGATACAAGGTGAAAATCATCAGATAGTGATTTCTCGCAACTTTTGTTATTAAAATCTGTTATAACTCAAAAATTAAACATGATGTGGATCCTTGTTATCAATATATGTATATGAAAATAATTAAACGTATATTTATGCTTTTATTGATATATTAAGTTTTACACTCTGCCTGACGCGTTTCGGTGATCTAAGCCATCTTCAGAGGCTTTCGTCCTTTTTGGTTATGCTATGTAGTACATAAAATATCGGTTTCTGTTTTATGTGGTAAAGTTGAGATGCTTCTTGCAGGGATTATTTTCAAATATTAACATTTAATGGGCTGGATTACTACTTGTTTTTCTCGGGAGCGAACAAATTGCAGAAAATGGCGTGCTAGGTGTTCGTATTCGAATACGAACACCTAGCACGCCCTAGCACATAAAAGAGAAACCGATATTTTATGTACTGCATAGCATAACTAAAAAGGACGAAAGCCTCCGAAGATGGCGTAGATTGCCGAAACGAGTCAGGCAGAGTGCAAAACTTAATATATCAATAAAAGCATAAATATACGTTTAATTATTTTCAAAAATTAATGTCGATGCAGGAAAATTGTATGAATAAAAAATCTTGGTTATGATCAAAAAGGCATAATTCATAATCTGCACACACCTATTCAAGATTATTTTGTAGATACAAGGAAAAATCTCCCAGATTGCGATTTCCACAACTTTTGTTAATAAAACCTGTCATAACTCAAAAACTAAAGTCGATGCAGGAACATTTTTGCATAAAAAATATTGGTTATGATCAAACAAGACATAATCCATAATCTGTGCAAATCTATTCAATGTTATTTTCTAGATACAACGTGCAAATCACCTAGATAGCGATTTCCCGCAACTTTTTTGAATAACCTTATAACACAAAAGCTAAAGTAGATGCAGGAAAATTGTATGCATAAAAACTGTTGGTTATGATCAAATAAGACATAATTCATAATCTGTACAAACCTATTCAAGACTATTTTCTAGATACAAGGTGCAAATCACCAAGATCGCGATTTCCACTACTTTTGTTAATAAAACCTGTCATAACTCAAAAACTTAAGTCGATGCAGGAAAATTTGGTGCATAAAAACTCTTGGTCATGATCAAAAAAGACATAATTCATAATCTTTATAGACGTATTCAAGATTATTTTCTAGATACAAGGTGCAAATCACCAAGATCGCGATTTCCACTACTTTTGTTAATAAAACCTGTCATAACTAAAAACTAAAGCCGATGCAGGAAATTTTGGTGCATAAAAACTCTTGGTTATGATCAAAAACGACATAATTCATAATCTGTACAAACGTATTCAAGATTATTTTCTAGATACAAGGTGCAAATCACCAAGATAACGATTTCTGAAAACTTTTGTTAATAAAACCTGTCATAACTCAAAAGCTAAAGTCGATGCAGGAAAATTGTATGCATAAAAAATGTTGATTATGATCAAAAAAGACATAATTGATAATCTGTACACACCTATTCAAGATTATTTTCTAGATACAAGGTGCAAATCACCAAGATAGCGATTTCTGGAAACTTTTGTTAATAAAACCTGTCATAACTCAAAAGCTAAAGTCGATGCAGGAAAATTGTATGCATAAAAAATGTTGATTATGATCAAAAAAGACATAATTGATAATCTGTACACACCTATTCAATATTATTTTCTAGATACACGTTGTAAAGCGCCAAGATAACGATTTCTGACAACTTTTGTTAATGAATCCTGTTATAACTCAAAAATTAAAGTGGATGCAGGAAAATTTTAGGCATGAAAAGTCTTGGTTATGATCAAAAAAGTGATAATTCATAATTTGTACACATCTGTCCACGATTACTTTCTAGATACAAGGTGCAAATCACCAAAATCGCGATTTCCACAATTTTTGTTGATAAAACCTGTCATAATTCAAAAACTAAAGTCGATGCAGGAAAACTTAATGCATAAAAAATCTTGGTTGTGATCAAAAAAGACATAACTCAAAATTTGTACACACCTATTCAAGATTATTTTCCAGATACAAGGTGCAAATCACCAAGATAGCGATTTCTCGCAACTTTTGTGAATAAAACCTGTTATAACTCAAAAATTAAAGTGGATGTAGAAAAATTTTATGCATAACAAATCTTGGTTATGATCAAAATAGACATAATCCATAATCTGTACAAACCTATTCAATATTATTTTCTAGATACAAGGTGCAAAGCACCAATATAGCGATTTCTGCCAAGTTTTGTTAATAAAACCTCTTATAACTCAAAAATTAAAGTGGATGCAGGAAAATTTTAGGCATGAAAAATCTTGGTTATGATCAAGAAAGTGATAATTCATAATTTGTACACATCTGTCCACGATTACTTTCTAGATACAAGGTGCAAATCACCAAAATCGCGATTTCCAGAATTTTTGTTGATAAAACCTGTCATAACTCAAAAACTAAGGTCGATGCAGGAAAACTTAATGCATAAAAAATTTTTGTTGTGATCAAAAAAGACATAATTCAAAATCTGTACACACCTATTCAAGATTATTTTCCAGATACAAGGTGCAAATCACCAAGATAGCGATTTCTCGCAACTTTTGTTAATAAAACCTGTTATAACTTAAAAATTAAAGTGGATGCAAGAACACTTAATGCATAAGAAATCTTGGTTATGATCAAAAAAGACATAATTCAAAATCTGTACACACCTATTAAACATTATTTTCTAGATACAAGGTGCAAATCACCAAAATTGCGATTTCCACAACTTTTGCTAATAAAACCCGCCATAACTCAAAAGCTAATGTCGATGCAGGAAAATTTTATTTTAATTCATAACTTATTCAAATTTTGCTCTACCCATTTTCAGGGTACATAGCAAAAATCTCCAACATTTAGATAAAATGACTTAAAACACCACACATCTATACTTAATTCAAATAATTTATTGTATTTTATTTTCAGGTTGTATCTGGTTTAGTAGAAATCCCAGCGATAGCCCTCAGCATAGGAATATTATTAAAAATGGGCCGTCGATACCCATTCGGAGGAACAATTTTCTTTGCGGGAATCATCTCAGTCTGCATTATCCCGATAAAAATGTTTATCCCAGATTTACAATGGCCCGTAACAGCTTTAGCCATGATTGGAAAATTCTTAATTTCATCATCAAACGCGGTTATGCCCGTTTTCACGGCGGAACTTTATCCAACAACGATGCGAAATTTAGGAGTCGGTGCCAGCAATGTTTCCGCAGGAATCGCTTTGATGTTGGTACCTTTCGTTTACGAGACGGTAATTTTTTTTTATTTCTTAAAATAAATATTGATTAGATTATTTATTCAGTTCATTTAAATCAACTTTTTGTTCAGGATGTGACCCTGACATGTCTGATAATTTAAACTTGATAATAACACAATTGAGTATCATCACCATATGGTACTACGTTTAAAATTTTTTTTTAAATTGAGATAATTATTTTTTTTTTCGTGTTTTTCAACAGGAAGTTCTCCACGTATCAGTTCCTCTGATTATTCTCGGAGTATTTGGCGTCGTGGGTGGAGTTAGCGTTTTATTTTTAAGAGAAACTGGAAATAAACCTCTCAAAGACACGTTGTAATAACTGTAAATTAATTAATTAATTATTTAATAAGAAGATAATGTGTATTCCTGTCGTTTTAGATCGGTTTTGATATTTATTTAATTTTATTTTAAATTTTAAATTAAATATATTTTTTATTTCTTCTATGACTTATAAAGACCGAATATTTTTTGTGAAAATAAAACTTAATACACCTAAACTAGAATTTATATTGTGTTTTTATTAATGAACGAATTTATTAATGTGAGATAAATAAATTAATTAATTTAATAAGGGAATATACTTTTATTTATTACAACAGTTAACCGTATAGAGAGACATATACAATAAGCACAGAAAAAAATATATTTATTTATTTTTTTAATTTTCTGTAGCCGTCCAAGATTTCTCTTCCATACTGACAACAATCGCTTGCTCAATTTTTTCTTGGAGCCATTGTAACATCACTTTGTGCCCAGTTAATGTTAATTTGTTATCGGAGTAAGAATTTTCAAAGGTTACATCGCCCTGTCTTATATTAAAAATCAATTCATTTCCAATCAATTGCGGTACAGAAACGACTTCATCCAAATCCAAAACCCACTCCAATTCCCACGAACCCCACATCCTACACTTATTGGCGCGAATAACATGCTCCAAACTAACCAAAACGATCGATTTTCCAACGCGATCCAAAGCGCAATGCGCCCAATACGTATCGTTTTTAAACCGATTGGTACAAATCGTTTCTAAAAGATAATGCCCCATCGATTCATACGCAGAAAATGGTTTCAATCCTAAATAGTTATTAAAATATCGAGTAAGTCTTTGATGAATCCGAACCGGTTCCCCCAAATTTGCAGCTCTTCTCAGGGCTTCAACAGCAACTTGGACGCAATTTGATTTATCATCTGGATGGCGAGTTATTAATGAATGCAAAGCCTTTCCAGTACTCTTAAAGAAAATTTCACCATCACATTGTAATCCACCTAAAAAATTATTATTATTATTATCTTAACATTAAAATTTCGTTTTTTATTACCACTTTGATTTCTAATAATAATTTGTTCCAATGCTAAAATAACACCGGGATTGAAATTTTTCGAAGAAGATGTGATACATTTCGGGATACAACTAGGTTTATGATAAGAATTATGTCTTCGAAATCTTTGGATGTTCTCGATATTTTGATTTGCGAAGATATCAACGATGCATTGTTCCAAAGCGACCGAAGACATATTTACGTGCCCTAAAAAGCACCGACATCCGAATAAAATGATCGAGGAGGTTTTATCAAATTCATTTTGCGACTTCTACAATAAAAAAGAATTAAATAAAACTTTTTATTTTGCTTAATTTTATTACTTCGTGCGATGGAATCGCTTGAATGCTGTAAGGATTAACCAAAACGTGTTGTCCTAAGACTTGCGAATAATATTGTTCGAGGAATTGCGTTGAAAAGTGGTTCCAAATTTCGGAGAGCATCCCGAAAAAGGTTATTCTTGTGTCGATAAGTTCAAATGCTGAGATTCTAGTTAAAAAGGATTTAATTTGGAATATTCATTAATTTTTTTTTAACTTACTTGTGTCTCACTCCTTCGTTGGGCATGTAAGGTGATAAATTGGCGGGAAATATGAAATCTAAAAGTTTTGTGAAAGGGTATCCGTTACAATTATTTTGGTTTTTGTGGGAAATGTTTAGTTTGATTCCGATTTGGCTCATTGTGAGGTTCTCCACTAAGGAATTAGGTGTGATTAAGTCCTGAAAAAAAAATCAAAAAATGTTTTCAATTATGCTTGCAAAGTATATGGAGATATACAAAATTATGTCAGATATCATAGCCACATTTGATGGGTTTATTTTGAATATACTTAGGGGAGGACGGTGTCCAGAATGAGGCATGGCTGGAGGCAACGGGAGAAGTGAGGGGAAAGTTGTTGGAAGCGCTGAACAAAGTTTGGGAAGGGGAAGGGTTTCCGATTGGATGGAGGACGGCGATAATAAGCCCCTTGTACAAGAAGGGAGTGAAGGGAGTAGTGGAAAGTTATAGGGGAATTAGCTTAATGGACTAGGCGTACAAGATATATGCGAAGGCGCTGCTGCAGAGGTTGGAGGAAGAGATGGAAGAGAAAGGGATCTTACCGGACGGACAGGCAGGATTTAGAAAGGGAAGGGGCGCGATAGATAACGTGTACATATTGAAGCACTTGGTGGATAAAGAGCTGGAAGGGAAGGGAGGGAAGCTTTACGCCCTATTCATAGATCTAAAGGCAGCTTTTGATAAGGTGAATAGAGGGAAGTTATGGGAGGAGATGAGGAGGAGAGGGATTACTGGTGGGACAATAAACAGGGTGAGGGAGATATACGCAGAGACGATAGCTAGGGTAAAGGTGGGGGACGAGTTAACGGATAGGTTCTGGACAACGAGGGGTTTGAGGCAGGGATGTCCACTTAGTCCCGCTCTGTTTGCCTTGTATACCGCAGACATGGAAGACAGATTGACCGGTGGGCAGATGGGAGGTGTGGTTGTAGGGAGGAGGAAGGTGCATTCACTGGCTTACGCGGACGATTTGGTGGTAGTGGCGAGAGAGGCGAAGGAGATGAAGGCGATGATGCGGAGTTTGGAGAGTTACTTTAGGGGGAAGGCTCTGGAGGTGAATGTAGGAAAGACAAAGGTTATGAAGTTCTGTAAAGGGGGTAGAAGGAAGAGCGAAGATTGGAGGTGGGAAGGGAAGGAGATAGAGGAGGTGAGGGAGTACACATATTTGGGGTACAGATTTAGAGAGGACAACAAGGAAGGCGCGCATGTGAGGGCAATGGCCAAGAAGGCGAATAAGGTGATGGGGCAGGTCTGGGGGTGGGGAGAGAGATTATTTGGAAGGGATATAGGAAAAAGGAAGATGATATTCGAGTGCTTGATTAGAAGTGTTATGATGTACGGGGCGGAGCTTTGGGGGTGGAAAGAGCAAGGGCTGTTGGAAGGCGTACAGGCTAGGTATTGGAGATGGGTTTTGGGGTTGGCAAAAGAGACGCCGGAGTACATAGTCAGAGAAGAGGTGAAGGTTGATAAGTTAAGAGTGGAGGCGGGTAAAAGGGCGGTACGTTTTGAGGAGAGGGTTGAAGGGAGGTCTCAATGTAAAATTTTGGGGGAGTGCTGGAAAGAGATTAAGGCAGGGAAAGGGGGTTACGGGCAACGAGGGAGGGAGGAATATTTCAGAAGGGTGGGGTACTCAGTGAAAGCGGTAGATGATAGAAGGAGGGAAGGGATTGAGATGTGGAAAGAGCTGGAGAGCAGGGATAGAGATGTACAGAGGCAAGAAAGAAGGGGGCAGATAAGGGAGAGCAGGTACAACCCTAAGTACGAGGAAATAATAACGGAGGGATTGCCGAAGTACCTGTCGGTGGAGGGGGATGAGGAGGGGAAGAGGATGGTGGCAAGATTCAGATGCGGCAATGAGGAGAGAGCGAATAGGTATTGGATGAGAGATGATGAGAGGGGTTGTAGGCTATGTGGGGGGGAGTGGGAGTCGTTGGAGCACCTACTGAGGGAGTGTGACGAGCTAAGAGAGGAGGTGATCGGCTGGAAGCAGGTGCTGGGGGAGAGGGCAGAGGGAAGAGAATGGATGAGGGAGGTGGTGGCGACAAGGCAGCGTAGGGAGATGCGGGGAGGAGATGGGGAGGGGTGGGATAGGAAATAAAATGTATTGTATTGTAATGTGATATATGTAATTGTAGTATTGTTAAAATTTAATTGTTTGTGGAATGTAATGCTGAGTTTGTAGCAATAAACTTAATTATTATTATTTTGAATATACTTGTCTATACTGGAAAAGGAACTATAATACACAATGATCAAGAGCATTCACACACGTTTTCATTCGTAACGGTGCTACTAAAAGACTATTTGGCTAAAGGGCATGAAATATATCTTGATCATTATTACACTAGTATCCGGATAGCAAAATATTTGTTCAAAAGCACGACGAAACTTGTAGGAACTTTGCAAAAATTTAGAAAGGGAAATCCGAAACAATTATTTCAAGAAAAAATTAAGAAAGGAGATGCTGTATGGAAAAGAAAAGGTCCAGTATTGGTTCACACTGGAAGGACAAGAGATTGGTGGCTATGATATCAACACCGAATGGTAGAAGCAACAAATAGAAAAGGAAAACAAGTAATAAAACCAGTATGTGTTCTCGCCTACAATAAGTACATGTCCCGGATAGAGAGATCAGACCAGATGATGGGATACTACTCATCGCCAAGGAAAACCATAAGATGGTACAGAAAAGTGTTCTTTCATCTTATACATATTGCAATGTGGAATGCCTATAACATATACAGGGTGTTCCGGTGACTCGGGGCATAAAATTAACTTCATATACTAGAGCAAAAATGATGACGATTCGTGAAAAAAAATTATTATAAAAGTCTTCAAATGGCTAAGATATGGGCCATCAAAGTTCAGAAATTTTAACACATTTTTCTAAATATTTTCAATACCATTTATGGTAGAGCGTTGAAATTTGGTACAGGGTAAACAAATATCAAGCAAAATCATTGAACCAATTTTGACTTTGATCGGGCGGCGGCAACCATGCTATACAGGGTGTCCCTAAAATTTGTTTGCTCAGAACTTTTTTGTTCGCTCGTAACCCTACATTTATTTTTGTACTTTTTAATAGAAAATTTATTTTAGAAACTATTATCACTCTTTGAAAATTTTTATAACATTTACCGTTTTCGAGTTATACGCGAAAATGTTAAGCTTTGATTTCAATCGTAACAAACAAAAAAAGGAAACATATTCCGCAAGATCTGAGTTGGCGATGACAATTCAAAAACGAACTGAGCTAATAACCATTATTTGCATACATTTCTAAGTGCAGACTTAGTTAAATCCAGTGTTAATTTATTTTAGTTGAATAAAAGAATGTAATTTCCAAAACAATAAATTTAATTTCCGGTTACAACAAACAAGAACATAACAAAAATTCTAACAAAAATATTAACAATAACAATAAAATTATAAACAAATAGTAATAAATAAAAAAGAACAAAAAAATACTAAAGCAGATGCACGCCTGATATCGCCGTCTTAAATTAAAGCGCACTCTGCGGAGAACATCGATCTCAGTTTGAAGTTGATCAAATGAATCAACAATTCGCAACCTCAGTTGATCAACTCGTTTTCGATTAACTGATTTAAACGCAGTAAATTAGCGATTTAACGCGTCCCCATAAATAAAAATCTACAGACGTAAGATCCGGCGATCGGGGGGGCAACTTATCGGTGCACCTACTCCTAGTCCAATCCACCGTTCCGGAAAACGTTCCCTCAGAAATTCTTGGACAGCTTGTGTGCTATGTGCAGGAGCACCATTATGCATATACCACATTGCTTGCCTTGTGTTTAAAGGACCGTCATCTAAAAAAATCATCTAATTCCTCTAAATGTATCCTGTATGTATGTCCATCCAGCCTTGATGGCAAGAAAACGGGTCCAATAATTACATCGCCCACAATGCCAGCCCAAACGTTAAGAGAAAATCTCCATTGTGATTTCCAAGTTTCATTAAATCTTGGATTTTCGTCCGCCCAACTATGTAAATTTCTCAAATTGAAGATTCCATCTTTAGAAAAAGTAGATTCATCTGTAAAAAGCACTTTTTCTTAAAACTGATAATCAATTTGGATTTTGTGCTGCATTATTTGGCAATATTGCAGTCGCAGTGGGTAATCAGCCAGTCGAACTTAGCGAACTTTGTAACAATGAAATGGATAAAGCTGTTGTTCGTGAAGAACACTCCAGACAGTTGTTTTTGAAGTTAAAAAGTGCCTCGCGATATCCAAAGTACCAGCTGTAGTATTTTCTTCTACGTAGTCTAGAATATCTTCTTCTAGTTCGGGTGTTCGGACTGATCTTACGTTACTGTTGTTAGCAAATTTCGGCTTAAACGTCCCATTTTCCCTTAAACGGGTTTCAACCCTTAAAAATTTTTTTCGATTGGAAGCTCTGCGATTCGGAAATTTCTCCCGATAACGGTTAGCGGCTGCTACGGCGTTTCCATGACATGATTTTGACATTAGGGGAATAATGTCAAAATCATGTCAATTTGTTCACTAAATGTGTAACTCTCCATTTTGAACACTTAAAATTAATAAAAACTTAACTAACAAAAAACTATCATTTGTGTTTAAACGACATAAGCAAGTTGACAGCTCAATTTGTTTTTTTTAATTGCCTTGGCCAACCTTGACTTTTTCGAAGATTTTTGTTTTTTAGTGTTACCATTGAAATCGAAGCTTAATATTTTCGCGTATAACTTGAAAACGGTCAATGTTATCAAAATTTTCAAAGAGTGATAAAAGTTTCTAAAATAAATTTTTTATTAAAAAGTACAAAAATAAATGTAGGGTTACGAGCGAACAAAAAAGTTCTGAGCAAACAAATTTTAGGGACAGCCTGTATAGCATGGTTGCCGCCGCCCGATCAAAGTCAAAATTGGTCAAATAGCCCATATCTTGACCATTTGAAGACTTTTATAATAATTTTCTTTCACGAATCGTCATCATTTTTGCTCTAGTATATGAGGTTAATTTTATGCCCCGAGTCACCGGAACACCCTGTATAAGAAGGAAAGAGGTACAACCAAAATTGACCTCTTGAAGTTCAACAGAAGAAGTTATACAGGATAATCTACAGGTCAATGATACATATACTAGGTCAACCACAGGCCAACAATCAGAATTCCATTATCTGGAGATAGTTCCCTCCACACAGAAAGACAAATCCGACGAAGAGGTGTCGCCAGTGAAGCAGAGGTGGAGTTTACAAGAAATTCATTGTGAGTACCATATGTATGCGGATGATTTGCAAATGTATGTTTCCTTTGATCCACGCGACTTCGCGTTGGGTATTACGAATATGCAAAAAGACCTTGATTACATTCATAAAGTGGCTCGGGAATACGGTCTATATCTTAATCCGAGTAAAACCAATGCTATTCTTTTTGGAAATCTCGCTATATGTAATGGTTTCCAGGAAAGTATTGATTTGCAAATTGATGGTTGTAACATTTCTTTGGTTAGTGAGGTAAAGAATTTGGGTATGATTATGGATAACAGTTTTCGCTATAAGAAGCATGTCTAAAACTGTATATCCAGGGCTTATTATCATCTGAGGATGTTGTTTCCTCATCGACACTACCTTGGTATTCATCTGAAAAAGATGTTGTGTAAAGCCTCTATTTTGGCTCAATTCACTTATTGTGCTGAGGTCTACCATCCGTGCATTGACGTTAGCGATGTAACACGTATTCAACGAGTACAAAACTCGTGTCTTCGGTATATATACGGAATTAGAAAATATAACAGAATATCTTATAAACTGAAGGCTGCGGGATGGCTAAATATGTATCATCATAGGAAAGTGCAGTGTTTGTGCCTACTATAAGGAACCACATATCTCTACCAACTGATAACTTTCCGAAATGATGTCCACCGAATTAATACGCGATTTCGCGGAAGACTGTCGCCACCCTTCTATCGTTTGTCTTTATTTCAGAGGTCATACATATTTCAAATAACTTCGAAATATAATGAGGTGGACGATAATTGCAAGGAGTTCTCACTAGGAAGGTTTAAAATTACACAGAAAAATTCTTGTTTTCTTGAACAATGTCTACATGGGGGCAAACGCTGATCTGACATGTTTTGCAATCTTGTTGTTGTATCTAGCTGTAGCTTTGTAATTTTTGGCCGAGTCATGTTTTTCTTTTTTTGTTTCTTAGGTTAATTAGAGCAGCTGTACTAACTAATACAAGCTGAAACTCGCCTATTTTCCTTTGTATGTTTTTTTTTAAATACAACTTCTTTCTATTAAACTTATTTCTAATAAAGGCATTTATTATTATTATTAAATGCAGATACAACTGCCCGATATGTCCAAAAAACCCTGGTTTGTGTGTAGAACCATGCTTCAGAATCTGGCACAGTGCACAATAATTGTATTTTGTAATATTTTGGGGTAACCGTAGTATTCGTTTTTGTTTGTATAGCACATTACGTTGTATTTAGAAAAAGAAAATAGAGACTTGGAAGAAATTCAGGTGAGTTCAGTTGACTGGACGTTGGTACAGAACTTAGAAATTCAAGGTACAATACCGTCGTCCAGTACTGCAGAAAGCGCGGTAGCGAATGTATTAAAATATGTACTCAACCTCAGTTAAAAAATTAACAACTGTACCAAGCAATGAAGAATCAAGTTAAATGAAGCTAAATCTGCTCATAGGGGTATAGTTAGTTAGGCCATTAGCAAATTCGCCAAGTTATGAACATCTACTTTTTCATTACATTCATGTCGAAGCAACCCAAATCCTCGACAACGTGAATCAGAACAGAAGACTCAAGAGGAACCGGTGAGGAACCTTAGTGAGTAGGATCTGGACCATAATCAGATAATTATGTTGCACAGATTTGGGGAAAAACCTGTTATAAAATCATTTAAGGTACATTTCTCAAGTAATATGTAATTTGGAGTTTTGCAAGCAGTACCTCTTCTTCTGGTCTTCTGTAAGCACTATGTAATCTTCTGCAAGCAGCACTTAGTCGTCTGCAAACACTATCCATTCTTCTGCCAGCAATATTTAGTTTCTGTAAGCAGTATTTAACTACCTACAAGCAGAATATAGTCTTCAATAAGCTATCTAGTATTTTGCAAGTTATATTTATTTTTCTACAAACAGAATTTAGACTTTTTCACTCAAAAACGGCGAGCTCAAGCGGTGCAGCTACTAAGCTTTTCGGCTCTTCTCCTTGATGGTAACGCTTATGGTAATGTTAACACTTGAGAAGGGAACCCTATATGTATTTGGAGATAAAAAAATAGGGGACGTGCTTTTGTATAATTTGAGTAGTCTAACTCCCAAGAGTGAATATAATTGACATGAAATTGTACAGCTTTTGTCGATATGATCGATTATATCTCAGAAACTAAAATCGATGAAGGAAAATGTTATACATATAAAATATTGGTTATGATCAAAAAATACCTAATCCATATTCTGTGCAACCCTATTCAATATTATTTTTTCGATGAAACGTGCTAATCACCAAACCGCTATTTTCATAACTTTCGTTACAAAACTAATTATAACTTAAAAGCTAAAGTCGATGCATGAAAATTTTATGCATAAAAAATCTTGGTTATGATCAAAACAGACATAATTCATAATCTGTACACAACTATTCAAGATTATTTTCTAGATACAAGATGCAAATCACTAAGATTGCGATTTCCTCAACTTTTGTGAATAAAACCTGTTATAACTGAAAAACTAAAGTCGATGCAGAAAAGTTGTATGCATAAAAAATCTTGGTTATGATCAAAACAGACATAATTCATAATCTGTACACACCTATCCAAGATTATTTTCTAGATACAAGGTGCAACAATGGATAAAATTCTACGAAATAATGAAGATAAATTGAAGATAACTCATTAAAGACAGGTCAGTGACCATTTGACAGTAAACTGTCAAATGTTAATCAAAGTAATTATTCACTTTGAAGAGCTATCAAGAAGACTAGTCCCGCAGAATATACTATTTAAAAACGCAGAAGCTAAGAGATACGTTGAATATTTTGAAGATACTTTTATGAATAATCATTTTTGCTTGTTAATGCATCTTTTAGATTAAAATATGTACCCAACCTCAGTTAAAACATTAACAACTGGACCAAGTAATGAAGAATCAAGTTAAATGAGGCTAAATCTGCCTCATCAAAAACTTGTTATAAAATCATTTACGGGTACATTTCTCAAGTAATATCTAGTTTTGAGTTCTGCAATCAGTACCTCTTCTTCTGCAAGCAGTATCCATTCTTCTGCCAGCAGTCTTCTACAAGCAGTATTTAATTATCTACAAGCAGAATATAGTCTTCAACAAGCTATCTAGCATTTTGCAAGTCATATTTAGTTTTCTGCAAGCAGAATTTAGTCTTTTTCACTCAAAAACAGTACTTTTACAGTGAGCATCCTTTGTTCTATGATAATATTAGTTGTTATCACTTAACGATTCTTAAATTAGGCCACCTACATCCCACCTTGACTCAAGCGGTGCAGCTACTCAGTTTTCGGGCTCTTCTCCTTGATGGTAACCCTTATGATGAAGTTAACGACCGAGAAGGGAACAAAATGTAAATAAGCCGTCAATTGCATGTTTACTTTATATGTTTACTGTTGTTGGTATGATCGATTATATCTAAGAAACTAAAATCGATGGAGGAAAATGTTATACATAAAAAATCTTGGTTATGATCAAAAAAGACATAATTCATAATCTGTACACATCTATTCAAGATTATCTTCTAGATACAAGGTGCAACAATGGAGTGTAAGAAACCGAAGAAGAATCTGGCATCAAATTAGATCACCAACCGATAAGATTCTACTAAATAATGAAGATAAATTGAAGATAACTCATTAAAGGTCAGTGTCTACTTAAGTAAACTATCAAGTGTTAGTAAAATTGACGCAGAAGCTAAGAGATACGCTGAATATTTTGAAGATATTTTTTGCCGAATCATTTTTGCTTATTAATGCATCTTTTAGATTAAAATATGTACCCAACATCAGTTAAAAAATTAACAACTGGATCAAGCGATGAAGAATCAAGTTAAATGAAGCTAAATCTGCCTCATAAAAAGTTGTTAGAAAATCATTTAAGGTAATCAAGTAATATCCAGCTTTGAGTTTTGCAAGCAGTACCTCAGCTGTAGTTACCCTTCTGTATGTAATAACTGGTCTTCTGTAAGCACTATTTAATCTTCTGCAAACAGTACCTAGTCGTCTGCAAGCACTATCCATTCTTCTGCCAGCAGTATTTAGTCTTCTGCAAGCAATATTAAATTATCTACAAGCAGAATATAGTCTTCAACAAGCTATGTAGCATTTTGCAAGTCATATTTAGTTTTCTACAGGTAGAATTTAGTCTTTTTCACTCAAAAACAGTACTTCTTCAATCAGCATTCTTTGTACTATGAGAATGTTAGTTGTTATCAGTTAACGATTCTTAAACTTAGGACACCTACGTCCCACCGTGACTCAAGCGGTGCAGATACTAAGATTTCGAGCTCTTCTGCCTGATGGGAATAAAATGTAAATAAGAGGCCAATTACATAGCAGAGAATTGAAGAATATTCTCGTATATACATTTGGAGATAAAAAAAATAGGGAGTTGCTTCTGTATGACTTGAGTAGTCTAACTCCTAAGAGTGAATATAACAGCCACATATGCTAATAAAATTTGGTGTATTTTTAGATCTTACAAATATCTTACTGGAATTTAGACTGGTTAAGTTAGACCAAGAAACGAATTTGCATTCTTAAAGTAAATTACCTTATTAATTACAGTGACAGGAACTCGAATCGAACTCAAATCATTTCTAAAGGCTACAGCACCATCTTGAATCCATTTTTTATGCTCAGTCATTAACTTAGCTAATTCCATAACCAATCCACCCTCTAAATTTACATAAAAATCCCCAAAAACCAACTGAACGTTTTTATAAACACTCATCGTTTTCGCAACGTTCTTAAAAAACGAAAATTCGATCACCGAATTCGCTTTAATCGCCTCACACGGCATCGGATTCAAAGTAATTGGGTCATTAGACGTTGTCGGTTGCTTATTGTCAATTTGCCCCGATTGAATTTTCGCACAAAAATATTGATACGTTTGCGATTTTCTGAATTGTACGTAAAGGGCCGGATTGTAAGTTCGCTTTAATTCGGCAAAGAACGGTTTTAGCATGAACATTTTTTCGAAATCGATGTGAACGTAATCTTTGAGTTGACATTTTTTATATGGTAATCGATATTTGTCTTCGATCCATGAAGCTAATTCTAAAGTTAAAGTTTTCCATTTATGGCCGACGTTGACTTCCCAAATTGCGGGGGAATCGGCCATCGATAAATAAATGTGTTCTTTTGTCGGTTGGGTTGTTGTAAAAAATGAAACTCCAATTCCTGCCAATGAAAGTAAACATTCGAAATCGCATTGTTCCATAAACGCGTCTTTTAAAATGTCGTTATAAACTTTTTGATCTTGGGTAAAAATTAGAATCTTTTTTAAACCATCTCGATAACAAATGTAGTAAATTATTACTTTATCTTTACGGACTTTTTTATTTAAAGTTGTTTTTACGCTATCGCAACTGTCGGAATCCTCACTGCTTGAACTTTCTGATTTTAGTTGGTTTTGGTTTGCTCCATAAGTTACACTGTGAAAGCTTATTTTTTCTTCCCCATAACTGAAATTATAAAGAAACAATAGATATTTACGTAACCAGTTATGAAAAGACTAATTTTGTTTGATGAGCGTAATATTTGCATGTAATGAAATCATTATATCACTAGTTATAAAAAAACGTGACGTTGCATAACGTCAGAAAGACATGTAATAGTTATTTATGTAACTAGTTATGAAAAGAGATTTGCAAATTACGTGAATTAACCTTCGAGCGGGCGCGCTGTTATAAAATTTATGACAGTTTTCGTTTTTATAATATTATAATTTCTTATATTATGCATTTGAAAGGATTTAACGCTAAAGTATTCATGTAACTATGTATTTTGAACATGATGAAAAGAAAAATGTAAAAAGAAATACAGTGTGTTAATTAATTGTCGTACCCGATGTCATCATTGCAAGTATGCAACCAATATCACAGTACTGATATTGCAATACGCGATTTGCGTATGATGCGTATTGCACTGTGATATTGGTTGCATACTTGCAATGATGACGTCGGGTATGATAATTAATTAACACACTGTATATTGACGCTGTCTTTATGGAAAAAAAAGTTATAAAATAAAAAAAATGTACACATTAATTGCTGATTTATAAGGCCGTATTTATATTATAGGATGTATTAAGGGATATAAATGTATTATAAATAAGTTTTGAGTCATACATGAAGATTTCGGATCGATTGCACATTTTTGAAAAATACAGGTCCGTAATGACAATTTTGTCGGAATCGAAATTGTTTTCATCTTTTCAATATTTCAATCTTTTGAGTTTATGGAAATATTCAATATATTTAAAGGCTTAATACGGCTAAATCTGAATGTTTCTAGTAGTAGGTCTAATGTTAGTTCTAGTGACAATGGTAGGTAGCGCTAGTTAACATAAGATATCACTATGTTGCATATTTGTGTATTTATTTATTGATGACATTTACAGAAATACAAATAAAGCAAAGTAAATAACAGAAGAACAAAAAGAAAGGACAGTTTACTGTCATCAACTTGGACCGAGTCAATGTATTAAAAAGATCATTTTTTGATAGGTGGTTTCATAAGCTTTATGACTCGATGATATAGACAGGCTGAATGCAACAATCTCCAGCTAGACATATCCAACTAGCCAACCCACTGCAGTGCATGAGATATTCTACTTCTTTTTCTTATTCCATAAATAAAACGCAAACATCAGTTTTGAAACCACTGTATGCGAAGGGAGGTCTGACTATCAAGGCACGAATTATAAACAGCATCCCCGTAATTAAAAATGGATAATACCAAACCATCACAAAGGCGAGATCGTATACGCTGATTCAGTAAGAGCTTGCTGCTATACAATAGTCTAAGTGTGGAGTACGCAAGTTGAAGAAGATGGGTTATATGTTTACGGAACCTTCAAGATGACTCCAATGTTATACCTTGATTCCGAGCATCATCAACAATATTTAATTGCAACCCTCAAGTTTGCCTTTAGCATGGTAACAGAATTCCTATGCCCAAAGACCATGACTGACGACTTCGACGCGTTAATAGACAAGCTTAATTTAGCAGCCTCAGAAATTAATCTGTTAAGGTCAGAATTGATTTTATTTTGTGAATCCAACATATCCGTGATATCAAACGGGAAGTACATTTGGGCATCATCAGCATACATACGAACTTTGCAATATCGTAAAACTTTATGTAGATACGCAGTATAAACTAGGTACAGAATAGGGCCAACGACAGAACCCTGAGGAACCCGAAATCATACCCACATTCGAGTACCTCCCACTTAAATTCACAATCTGACAACGATGATAATTTTCAAATGTTTTATAGCTTGTTCCGAAAGTCCTGAAAATTTCAGAATTGACAGAAGGGTTTGATGATGCAATGTATCGAACGCTTTTGCAAAATCCAACAGCACAAGCACAAGGACATCACCATCATCCCTACACCGGAAAAGATCATCAGTTACGTCCAAAAGGGCCGTTGTACTGCTATACCCTGAGCGAAAACCAGATTGACGCGTCGGTAAAACATTAAAATTTTCAAGGTGCTCAAACAGCTGTCCTGCAATAAATTTTTCGAAGATTTGAAGATAAAATACTGATAGGTCTGAGGTCCTTAAGATGTAAAGGGTTAGCTAGTTTAGGCACTGGAGTAACAAGAGCTACCTTCCATGCATCAGGGAATATCGAGGTTTCCAAACAATAATTAATTATATGACATATATATGGTAATATCGTTAGGCAACAGAGAATTAGCATTTTTTAATACCATCATGATCTACAACATTACTTTTAATCGACTGCAGGAAATCAAAGACCTCCGACTCAGATATATACGCAAAACTTAGTCGCTCTACCACGGATGGTAGAGTATGAGTCTCAAAGTAATTTATCATATCGCCATCACCTAGCGATTCAACTTGAGTTCAAAGAAAATATTTATTTATAACATTCTCATTACCAAGACCATCAGGTATTGATCGCTGCTTCCAACTAATTATTCCCATATTTCGAAAACTTTTCCAAAGATCACGATTATTACCCCTACTAGCCACCTGAGCAAGATATGCCTTCTTTTCCCTTTGAATGTTAACATTAGTGAAGTTACGAAGTTTTTTGTAGTTACTAAAATGACTGGAAATGACTGCCTTTTTTTAATTTCAAGTACTTATCCCGAAGCAACATCATTAATTTAATATTATCAGTTATCCAAGGACGATAATGTTTCCTAAGGGTGGTAACTTTAACAGGTGCATGTATATCAAAAAGAGTCATTATCAACGAATTAAAAAATTCAACCTTATCATTTATATCGTAGTATATTTTGCCACGGAGTTATTTCCAGATCATGTAAGAAATTTTCATAGCAAATATGTTTGAAATCTCTATAATATACAACACACGGCAACTTATTCTGACTACCAAAGATGTCTAAAACAACAGACACAAGCAAATCGTCATCATTAAGAATTATGTAATCAATCAGTGTTGCAGTATTTAATGTTACCTCCTCAGCTCGAGGAGGTACAAGGGGGTCACCTTTAAGAAGATCGGAGACATCAATTATCCTAAATTTTCTATTTCATATTCGGCAATAAATGGACCCTCTGACAGTCCAAACGTTTGTTTTTCCATACACTTTTTTTGCCTACTGATACAACCTATATCGCATTCCATTGAGATCCTCAGTTATTACTAATTTTGATCCGTTAAGCTTCTTCTTCATGTTCAGAATTTGATATTTGTGGTCTACTCTAGCGAAGTTTACTATCATTGCATAATCAAAGCGGAGCGCAAATTTTTCTAATAATAGATTTTGAATTTCATCGTGGGCGAAACACTCTTTAATGGACTGCTTTAATATTGTTTTAATCTCGTTTACTTGAGAATTATCGAAAAAAGGCGTGATGATTATATTACCTTTAATCAAACCCACGCGTTCAGTTTCTATGAAAATAGCACAGGTTTAACCACTTCAATTCGCACCAAAAGCCAGACCGCTCTGGCAACACGTCTGTTCACTCCACCAAATTTTACATTTAAAAAGTTTTATATTCTAATTGAACTAAAACTAGAACTAACACTAGATCTAGATCTAAACCCAAATCAAAAACACAACCTTAGTGATAGTTTTGCACTATCACTATGATTCTAATTCTAGGTCTTGTGTTAGTTCTAGTGATAGTGCTAGTGTAAAACGAGAACTAACACTAGACCTAGAACTAGAAAGCTTCGGGTTTAGCCGTACGCCTCTCAAGACGGTTAAACCCGAATGATTCTAATTCTTTTCTAGATCGTTAGACCTAGATCGTTTCTAGATCTAGGTCTAATGTCAGTTCTAATGACAGTATATGTGTAAAACTAGAACTAACACTATACGTATACCGGAATTAGAAACATTTGCGTTTAACAGTACGTATCTTAAGACGGACGAAAAGTCAAGATTATCATAATGACGTCACCTTTTTCCAAGCAAAACTTTTCCTCTGCAAAACTACCCGGTAGTGTACTATTACTATCACAATGTACAGAGTGTCCCAATTTCGATGTCCGCATAGGCTATCTCCGAAACTAAAAGAGATAGAAAAAAAGTAGCTTACATGTCATGATCTCGTTTTTCGAGAAAATGCTAATGAAGAAAACTCCGAACAGCTATGGTCTTTTGTAAAAATTATGAAAAATGTAACATGATGGAATGCTATATGTTATCAGATAAGAATGCGACGTTAGCCGCGGAATTTTATTTCACAAGATATCCAGAAAGAAGACAACCGCACGTAAGAACCTTCAGCCGGTTAGCAGAAAATTTAATAGATATTTGGTCCTTCCCCAAACCACATACAAAAACATACCAAAATGACCTGCAAGAGAAATTGCAACAAGACGTCTGACCCAAAAGCCGTTGCTCCCGAATATGAAAGAAAAATAAGTATAAACCATACAAAGCGGGGCTAACTCCTTATTTACGTGCCGGAGATGTCAATCGAAGATTAGAATTTTGTAGATGATATTTAGAAAAATTAAATAGTCTGCTGTTTGTTCAAAATGTTATCTGGACCGAAGAAGTCTCTGAGTGTTCAAAGAAGCTTGGGGTTCAATGTATGGTGTGCCCTTTTAGATAATAGAATTTTGCCATATAGTATCTACCATAAAAACTTAAACTCAGAGAAATACCTCAATATATTAAGGCAGCACTTGAGCCTTTGGTCGACAATTTGGCACTAAATATGTCTCAAATGATATATTTTCAATATGACGGAGCACCAGCACATAATGCCAGAGTTGTTAGTGAATTTTTAAATACTACTACAAACTCCTTGCTACAAACTTTGACAATAATTGGAAACAATGCTTTCCCTCATGGTATGGTTATCACCATAACAACATTAAGTTTTAAATACATACAATAGTTTTAGAAAGAACAAAAAAAATTGATACATTATATTCCATCATAGTATGTATGGTTATCACTAGGGCACGAAACTTTTGTAACAAAACGATACGATTTCCCCCCTCCACTTGTTCTCATTGGCTAGTTTTCTAGGAAGCCACTGAGAACAAGTGGAGGGGGGAAATCGTATTCTTTTGTTACAAAAGTTCCGTGCCTTAGTTATCACCATAGCAACATTAACTTTTAAATACATACATTAGATTTAGATGGAACAAAATGAATTTTTGTTAATTATTCAATAACTATAAGAAATATACCCCACAAACTATATATATTTGTTATCAGAAGAAAATAACAAATTATTTTAAGTCATAGCCAACTATGGTTTCCATTTAAAAAAATAAAGTTACGTCTAAAATCTCGAAAATAAAAGATGGGAAAAAAATTCTACCTACGCCACTGAATTCTTCGTAAAAAGTTGCCCATATAATGTTTTATTTATAATACTCCATCTTTGATAATAAGTGAGATATTTGCGATTGTCGTTTTTGCAACATTTTCAGTTTTTGCCGATAGGGCGAAAACAAAAGACGATAGCTGTTCGGAGTTTTCGGCATTAGCATTTTCTTGAAAAACGAGATCATGACATGTAAGCTACTTTTTTTCTATCTCTTTTAGTTTTGGAGATGGCCTATGCAGACATCGAAATTGGGACACCCTGTACTATTAAGCTATGTTGCATTCTATGTGGGACAGTGCAAGTGCACAGTAGTTTCGTAACTATGGTTACTACATTTATATATTGCGATTTATATGAAATTCCCGGTATGTAGTTTGTAAATGTTGTTAGATTTTAAAAATTAATCGAATTCATTGATTTTATTTTATGCTTTTAACAATTGTTTAATATAAATTAAATATTTTTACTCTAGCAAAATGGGTTTATTAAAAATAACGTAATACTTATTAATACAGACCTGATGTCATAAAATTTATGACACGCGCTCGCTCGTCTTATAAAATTAGCCATTTCATAACGTGTTAAGTAAAAAAATTTATCTAATTCCATTAAAAAAGCAATTTTTGTTCAAAACTTGACTTATTCTATTAGTGACAGATGTCAATTTGTAGTTAGGTAATGGAATTTATTACATCACTAGTGATGAAATGAAATCATTACATCACTAGTTATAAAAAAAGTGACGTTACATAACGTCATAAAGACATGTAAAATTTAATCTTCATAATGGAATTAGATAAAAATATTTATTTTCTTAATAAAAACAAAAAAGGTTCTCACCAATCTTTAGATACATCAATATTAAATCCAACCCCTCTATTATTATAAACATTCCACAACATCATTCTCGGCTTAGTAGGATCATCCCAAGTATAAACCATCGAGTGATACGGATTCAACAAAGTAACTTGCCTTTGTCCTTGTTGTTGAATCTTCAAAAATAAATCCCCACACAAATTTTTAATGTAAACCGGGGCATCCCCATCTTTGTATTCATTAAAACAAATCTTAAAGCTCTCGGTTTTTCCCCCGGTGACATCAACACAAATAGCGGTCCCTTTATCCATCCTTAAAACAGTATGATGATTCGTCGAAATAAAAAATCCTTGCGATTTTAATTTGCTATCGCGATATTTAACAAACATTTGCATCGATGTTGTTTCCGGCCAAAAAGGGACGCATTGACTTGGAGGTAAATCAATCCATAAATCGGATTTTTCGTTTTCCTCCATGAATCGTAATGTTTTTAATGTGTTGTTTATAATGAGGAAGTTGGGGTAAAAAGTGATTATTTTAGTGTGTTTTGGCGCGATTTGCGATAAATGGATCGACATTAAGATTGCGTACTTTTTTTTTCTTTGGTTATCTTTACAAACAATTAGCCCGGTTGTTCCTGCGCATTCTATTCCAAAATCGTTTGACCAATCCGATTCAAAAACCTTTAAATTTAAAGATTGCTTCCCGTGGCGTTTGTAAGAAAACAATAAAATCTCTTGACCAATCGTGGATTCATAAACAACGTTACTCGATGACGCTTTTATATAAAGAGGAAGACCAGTTTTATTAACAATCCAATAAGGTGAAAAGAAAAACATTTCAACACTTCCCTCTCGATCCGTTTTAACGTGAACCATCAAACTTTTATTACCACCATTCCCATCCTCTTTAACATCGGCTCCTAAATGCAAAATTTTTTCATCCAAATGAGTTGTAAGATTTAAAACACCGGACCAATTTAATGTTGCCCCACACACTTTCACCAACAATTTTTGGTCTTTTGATAAATTTAATGAATAAGCGCTTGATTTTTCGCCGGGTTCAACTTTGAGGTGTTGTTTCAAGTCGATATTTTCGACCTCTAAGGTGTATGGGAGGTAGTTATGGACGATTAATGGGGGTAAAAGGTGGATTACGTAATTGGGGATGAAATGGGATTGGGATTTTTTGGTATCGATGTGCTTACGAAGGATTACTCGTAGGGAGAACACTTCGAGGTTTGAATCGGTTTTGGGGCTGCAATGGAAATTATGGGCTGTATCGAGTTCCGTCGTGAAGTCTTGCCACCATATTCCTGCATCAGAAACGTAATGACCTCTGCAAAAAAGAAAAAAATAGAAAGAAATTAATACAAATTTTCATACTTACTCTGCATAAGCTGGTTGAATAAACAATTTACAATGATACGCAATATAAAGTGGTACATTGTATCGTTCGTGAGGTTCCAAAACCGCAATCCTCATAGTGGTTTCAAAAGGATTCATCACATCTCCCACCGGTTCCAAGTTCATTTGTTGCAAAACTGAAGGTTGATATAAAATGCTTAAAGCAAAACAAGTTTCGTTTTTAATCTGTAATGGAGAGCTAACGGCAACTTGTCTCCCATGTTTATTAACACTATGCTTCGCAAGTAAGTAATAAATTTTGCTCGTTGATACACCGTGTAGCCGCATCAATTTCTCCCAAGATTTTTTTGGACAACACGTTTGGACAGGTTGAAAACCGGGGACGTGAATTTTTAAATGATGTTTATTGATTTTTTCATACAAATTCGATGTTGTATCAATAGGAAACTCCAAACTCGAAATTGGTTCTAAATCTATATTCATTTCGATATCTTTGTTGGTTTCATCGGTGTAACTATCGCGATCATCCAAATCATCCAAGAAATCGGTGCTTAAATAAACACTTTTCGTCGGGCTGTTCGGACACGAATCTTGCATCTCGTACGTTTTTGAACACACCAACGTTGAGTTTTCAACCGATTTCGTTCCTTTATTCTCAAAAAGTTCGACTTTCGTTAAGGGACCTATATCGTTTACGATATTAATCGATTTATCGTAAGTTATTGATAATGTCTTATTCGAATAAACCGTAAACAACTCGTTTAATACTTTAAAAAATGTAGAGGTTACTGTAATGTTTAAGATATCTTTAGCGTCGATTAAAAAATAAGTTGATTTTTTATAATTTTTTTGTGGGTAAGCATCGGGATGTTTTGGTTTCACTTCTTCTTCATCGGAATCATCTTCATCACCTGAATTATTAAATAATTATTAAGTAATTATCAATAATAATGTATTAAGATTACAGTAAAACGTCGATAACGGATTAATACGAGGAAGCGAGTGTTCGTTATAGCCAAAAGTTCGATATATAAAAAAATTTTAATTTGCACTTTAAAGTGTTTGAATTATTTTAATGCAAACAAATTCGGACAGCTATCAACAGTTGCGTTCAGTCCACTTGGCTTTATATTTATACCAAGGACGGTAGAATCTAAGAAGACTGATACATCCTGGGAACAGATAAATAACTCGAAGACCTGTCTGAAGATGCACGGCTAAACCCGAAACTTTCTAGTTCTAATTATAGTGTTAGTTCTACATAGTAACAGTGCTGGTATAAAACTAGAACTGTAGACCTAGAACTAGAATCATTCGGGTTTAGCCGTCTTAAAGACGTGCGGCTAAACCCTAATGATTCTAGTTTTAGGTCTAGCATTAGTTCTAGTGACAGTGCAAGTGTAAAACTAGAACTAGCACTATACCTAGAACTAGAATCATTCGGGTTTAGCCGTCTTAAGAGACGTGCGGCTAAACCCAAATGATTCTAGTTCTAGGTATAGTGTTAGTTCTACATAATAACAGTGTTAGTGTAAAACTAGAACTAACACTAGACCTAGAACTAGAAACATTCGAGTTTAGCGTCTAGAGACGCACGGCTAAACACGAAACTTTCTAGTTCTGGGTTTAGTGTTAGTTCTAGTTTTACTTATTATACAGTGCCAGGTTGTTGGGTATTTTTATTGAACTAAAACTAGAACTAACACTATACCTAGAACTAGAATCACTTGGGTTTAGCCGTACGTCTCCAAAGACGGCTAAACACGAATGATTCTAGTTCTTGGTCTACCGCTGCTTAAAAATTAAAACTAGAACTAACACTAGACCTAGAACTAGAAAATATCGGGTTTAGCCGTGCATCTTGAGAGACGTGCGGCTGAACACGAATGTTTCTAGTTCTAGGTCTAACGTTAGTTCTAGTTTTACACTAAAACTAGCACTAGAACTAACACAAGACCTAGAACTAGAATCATTTGGATTTAGCCGTCTTTAGAGACGTGTGGCTAAATCCAAATGATTCTAGTTCTAGGTATAGTGTTAGTTCTAGTGTTAGTTTTAGTGTAAAACTAGAACTAAGACTAGACCTAGAATTAGAAACAGTCGGGTTTAGTCATCTTGAGAGACGCACGGTTAAACCCGAATGTTTCTAGTTCTAGGTCTAGTGTTAGTTTTAGTTTTAATTATTATTCAGCGCTAGATTGTTGTATATTTTTATTGAACTAAAAGTAGAACTTATACTACACCTAAAAACGTTCGGGTTTGGACGTCTTAAGAGACGCATGGCTAAACTTTACGGATAATAATTTTTCATATAACAAGCGATTCGACGTTTAAACTAACACTTATTTTATAGTTTGTTGTATTTAGTAATCGTAGTTATGATAGCAAGAACAGCAACTTAAAAAACCGTATCTCAAGAACGAATTCAGGCATCATGATGAAATAAGAAGTATTTTAAAGCAAATTTAATTGAGGTTGAGTATGCCATAAATAATTTCTTAATTTCCATAAACGCCGTTCTTATGATTTTTTACACCCAACTCTACACATTTGATTGGTATAAATGGTAAAAGTAGTAGAAGTAATATAAAAGATCGTATCTCAAGAACGGATTGAGATGTCATGCTAAAATATGAAGCATTTTAAAGCAAATTTAATTGAGGTTGAGTGTGCCACAAATAATTTCTTAATTTCCATAAATTCACAACACCGTTGTTGTGATTTTTTAAACCCAACTCTACGCATTTGATTGCTATNACCTAAAAACGTTCGGGTTTGGACGTCTTAAGAGACGCATGGCTAAACTTTACGGATAATAATTTTTCATATAACAAGCGATTCGACGTTTAAACTAACACTTATTTTATAGTTTGTTGTATTTAGTAATCGTAGTTATGATAGCAAGAACAGCAAAAAACCGTACCTCAAGAACGAATTCAGGCATCATGATGAAATAAGAAGCATTTTAAAGCAAATTTAATTGAGGTTGAGTATGCCACAAATAATTTCTTAATTTCCATAAACACCGTTGTTGTGATTTTTTAAACCCAACTCTACGCATTTGATTGCTATAAATGGTTAAAGCAGTAACAAAATATCGTATCTCAAGAACGGATTGAGATATCATGATGAAATAAGAAGCATTTTAAAGCAAATTTAATTGAGATTGAGTGTGCCATAAATAATTTCTTAATTTCCATAAACGTCGTTGTTATAATTTTTTAAACCCAACTCTACGCATTTGATTGCTATAAATTGGTTAAAGCAGTAACAAAATATCGTATCTCAAGAACGAATTGAGACATCATGATGAAATAAGAAGCATTTTGAAGCAAATTTAATTGAGATTGAGTGTGCCATAAATAATTTCTTAATTTCCATAAACGTCGTTGTTATAATTTTTTAAACCCAACCATACGCATTTGTTTGCTATAAATTGGTTAAAGCAGTAACAAAATATCGTATCTCAAGAACGAATTGAGATAACATGATGAAGTAAGAAGCATTTTAAAACAAATTTAATTGAGATTGAGTGTGCCATAAATAATTTCTTAATTTCCATAAACGTCGTTGTTATGATTTTTTAAACCCAACTCTACACGTTTGATTGTTATGAATGGTAAAAGTTGTAACAAAATATCGTATCTCAAGAACAAATTGTGTTATCATGATGAAATAAGAAGCATTTTAAAGCAAATTTAATTGAGATTGAGTGTGCCATAAATAATTTCTTAATTTCCATAAACGTCGTTGTTATGATTTTTTAAACCCAACTCTACGCATTTGATTGCTATAAATTGGTTAAAGCAGTAACAAAATATCGTATCTCAAGAACGAATTGAGATATCATGATGAAATAAAATACATTTTAAAGCAAATTTAATTGAGGTTAAGTATGCCATTAATAATTTCTTCATCTCCATAAACGTCGTTGTTATGATTTTTTAAACCTAACTCTACGCATTTGGTTACTGTTAATGGTAAAAGCAGTAAATAAAAGATCGTATCTCAAGAACGAATTGAGATATCATGATGAAATAAAATACATTTTAAAGCAAATTTAATTGAGGTTAAGTATGCCATTAATAACTTCTTCATCTCCATAAACGTCGTTGTTATGATTTTTTAAACCCAACTCTACGCATTTGGTTGCTGTTAATGGTAAAAGCAGTAAATAAAAGATCGTATCTCATGATGAAATAAGAAGCATTTTAGAGGGAATTTAATTGAGATTGAGTGTGCCATAAATAATTTCTTACTCTCCATAAACACCATTGTTGACACATTTGATTGTTATAAATTTTAAATACAGTAATATAAAAAAACATATCTCAAGAATGAATTGAGATATCGTGTTGAAATAGGACGCATTTTAGAGGAAATTTAATTGAGATTGAGTGTGTCATAAATAATTTCTTATTTTCCATAAACATCATTGTTATGACTTTTTAAACAAAACCTTACTTTGATTATTAAAAATTTTAATAGCAGTAATATAAAAAGATGGTATCTCAAGAACGGATTGAGATATCATGATGAAATAAGAAGCATTTTACAGGGAATTTAATCGAGATTTAGTGTGCCATAAATAATTTCTTATTTTCCATAAACATCATTGTTATGACTTTCTAAACACAACCTTACTTTAATTATTAAAAATTTTAATAGCAGCAATATAAAAAGTGATATCTCAAGAACGAATTGAAATATCATGATGAAATAAATAGCATTTTAAAGCAAATTTTATTGATATTAAGTGTACCAAAAATATNACTTTCTAAACACAACCTTACTTTATTATTAAAAATTTTAATAGCAGTAATATAAAAAGTGATATCTCAAGAACGAATTGAAATATCATGATGAAATAAATAGCATTTTAAAGCAAATTTTATTGATATTAAGTGTACCAAAAATATTTTCTCAATTTCCATAAACGTACTTGTTATGAGTTTGAAACCCAACTCTAAGCATTTGGTTGCTGTTAATGGCAAAAGCAGTAACAAAACATGGTATTTCAAGAACGAATTGAGATATCATGATGAAATAAGAAGCATTTTAGAGGGAATTTAATTGAGATTGAGTGTGCCATAAATAATTTCTTACTCTTCATAAACACCATTGTTATGATTTTTTTAAACACAACCTTACACATTTGAATGTTATAAATTTTAAATGCAGTATTACAAAAAATCATATCTCAAGAACGAATTGAGATATCATGATGAAATAAGAAGCATTTTAAAACAAATTTAATTGATATTAAGCGTGTCAAAAATATTTTCTTAATTTCCATAAACGTACTTATTATGATTTTTAAAACCCAACATTAAGCATTTGGTTGCTGTTAATAGCAAAAGCAGTAATATAAAAATCATATCTCAAGAACGAATTGAGATATTATAATGAAATAAGCTGCATTTTAAAACAAATTTAATTGATATTGAATGTGCTAAAAATATTTTCTTAATTTCGATAAACGTACTTGTTATGAGTTTGAAACTCAACCCTAAGCATTTGGTTGCTGTTAATGGCAAAATCAGTAATATAAAAGATGGTATCTCAAGAACGGATTGAGATATCATGATGAAATAAGAAGCATTTTAGAGGGAATTTAATTGAGATTTAGTGTGCCATAAATAATTTCTTATTTTCCATAAACATCATTGTTATGACTTTTTAAACACAACATTACACATTTGATTATTAAAAATTTTAATAGCAGTAATATAAAAAAACATATCTCAAGAACGAATTGAGATATCATAATGAAATAAATAGCATTTTAAAGCAAATTTAATTGATATTGAGCTTATCAAAAATATTTTCTTAATTTCCATAAACGTACTTGTTATGATTTTTGAAACCCAACATTAAGCATTTGGTTGCTGTTAATGGCAAAAGCAGTAATATAAAAATCATATCTCAAGAACGAATTGAGATATTATAATGAAATAATCAGCATTTTAAAACAAATTTAATTGATATTGAATGTGCTAAAAATATTTTCTTAATTTCCATAAACGTACTTGTTATGAGTTTGAAACCCAACATTAAGCATTTGGGTGCTGTTAATGGCAAAAGCAATAATATAAAAGATGGTATCCAAGAACGAATTGAGATATCATGATGAAATAAGAAGCATTTTAGAGGGAATTTAATTGAGATTGAGTGTGCCATAAATAATTTCTTACTCTCCATAAACACCATTGTTATGACTTTTTAAACACAACCTTACACATTTGATTATTAAAAATTTTAATAGCAGTAATATAAAAAGTGATATCTCAAGAACGAATTGAGATATCATGATGAAATAAATAGCATTTTAAAGCAAATTTAATTGATATTGAGCTTATCAAAAATATTTTCTTAATTTCCATAAACGTACTTGTTATGATTTTTGAAACCCAACATTAAGCATTTGGTTGCTGTTAATGGCAAAAGCAGTAATATAAAAATCATATCTCAAGAACGAATTGAGATATTATAATGAAATAATCAGCATTTTAAAACAAATTTAATTGATATTGAATGTGCTAAAAATATTTTCTTAATTTCCATAAACGTACTTGTTATGAGTTTGAAACCCAACATTAAGCATTTGGGTGCTGTTAATGGCAAAAGCAATAATATAAAAGATGGTATCCAAGAACGAATTGAGATATCATGATGAAATAAGAAGCATTTTAGAGGGAATTTAATTGAGATTGAGTGTGCCATAAATAATTTCTTACTCTCCATAAACACCATTGTTATGACTTTTTAAACACAACCTTACACATTTGATTATTAAAAATTTTAATAGCAGTAATATAAAAAGTGATATCTCAAGAACGAATTGAGATATCATGATGAAATAAATAGCATTTTAAAGCAAATTTAATTAATATTAAGTATGAAAAAATGTTTTCTTAATTTCCATAAACACCGTTGTTATGATTTTTTAAACCCAACTCTACGCATTTGATTGCTATAAATGGTAAAAGTAGTAACAAAATATCGTATCTCAAGAACGAATTGAGATATTATGATGAAATAAGATGCATTTTAAAGCAAATTTAATTGAGGTTGAGTGTGCCATAAATAATTTCTTAATTTCCATAAACGTAAGTGTTATGATTTTTTAAACCCAACTCTACGTATTTGGTTGTTGTTAATGGTAAAAGTTGTAAAATAAAAGATCGTATCTCAAGAACGGATTGAGATAACATGATGAAATAAGAAGCATTTTAAAGCAAATTTAATTGAGATTGAGTGTGTCACAAATAATTTCTTATTTTCCATAAACACCATTGTTATGATTTTTTAAATACAGCCTTACACATTTGATTGTTATAAATTTTAAAGGCAGTAATATAAAAAATCATATCTCAAGAACGAATTGAGATATCATGATAAAATAAGCAGCATTTTAGAGAGAATTTAATTGACATTGAGTGTGCCATAAATAATTTCTTCATTTCCATAAACATTTTTGTTATGTTTTTTTAGCCCCCAACTCTATACATTTTATTGTTGTCAATGTTAAAAAGAAACATTCGGATTTAGCCGTGCGTCTAAAGACTTTCAGTTTTTTTTTGAACTTTTCTAATTCAATGTAAAATATACAATCTCTCGGGGGAATACCCAGAGTTTATCTATAAACGTGGAATAGAGTATCTTGGGGAATAACCCGAGTTGGATTCTATCTATGAGCGCTAACAATTATATTTAAATGTATTAAATAAATAATATTAATAGTATGACTTCAAAATATTTTGTCCGTTATATCGAGATTTTACAGTAATTAATTAATTTAGTTAATATAACCTTCACTAGAATGATCAGAATCTGATGCTTCACTTTCATTCCAATCACCAGTGAATAAATCCGAAATGGCAGCCGCTAATTTTTCCATCGTTCCATCTTCATTTTCCGAATCCGAGTCATCTAAAAATGTTGATAAGCTAGTTTTAACTTTTCGATTACTTCTCGTATGGAACGAATTCGATGGTTGTAAATAAATCATGTCCTCGCCACTTTCCTCGTCGCTAGAACTCGGGGAAGAATTCTTTTTATTCCCGGCGTCTTTTAAATTTGATGATTTTTTCGATTTCGTTTCAACATTACCCATCATCGGTAATGATTTGTCTTGAAAAATTTTTATGATTACTTCCCAAGGTTTATATTCGTAATCGTCCATCACAATCGGATCTAAAACTGGTTCCCAACATTGCGAATTATCATTGAAATAATTCGCTTGAATTGTAAATTCGCAAGTTGAATTTAAAAGTGTTGACCAATCGCACATTGTTACTTCCAATGACGTTTTTATTAACACAACGGGGATTTCTTCTAACTCTAAAATTAATATCATTTCGGTTTTTGGTAACAAAAATAACTCCCTGTAGATGTGGGATGGTGGTTTTTCAACGAATTCTTCTTTACAAACGTATTCATTTAAATGTTTCGGTTCCCATAAATCTTCAATTTCTTTTTCTTTACTTTCTAAACGTTTCAATTTGTTACCGGGGACTTCGTCTGGGAGTTTAAAATGTTCAACGATATCGTTTAATATATCATTAATGGCGTAAACCACTCGATTGCATAATTGAATGTGGATCGAAGAAACCGACGTGGTAATTTTATCCCCTTTTTCTTCACTAAACGATTTCGAAAGTTCAACATCGCATTGTTTTAGAATCGAATAAGGTTCCATTGCGTGAATTCCAACGTCGTAAAACGAGGAATGCAATCCCGATAATGAAATAACAAGACTTAATCGAGTACCATGTCTTGAATAATCCGACAAAATTTCGGTTTTTGTTATAAAATATCGCCGTTTATTCGAAGTTGTTTCAACCACAAAAATAAATTCGGGACGATTTATCCTTAAAGCGATTGTTAAGCTGTGTGGAATCGCTTTTGGGATTTCGTTTTCGTTGGTTTGGTCGCTAACATAACCGTGATTAATTATCCCGATGTCTAGGGTGTCTTTAGGGAGACAATCAACGATAAACATCGCCATTTTTTCAGAAAATGGAACTGAAAGGGTTAAACTTAAGCGACCGATGATGATATCGATGGATTTATCACTATTTTTGGTTTGATGGAATGTCAAATCGATTATTGGTGGTTTATTTACGGTTATATTGCAGTTATTGTTCTTGTTATCATCAACTGGGGATTGAAGAATCCTAAAAAAGATTTAGATTAAAATGAGTTTGGATTAATAAAAAGTAATTAAAATAACCCTTTATCATAAACATTAACGTCCGGTCCGATTTCTTCGATACACAACCCATCAACGGATAATTTCCCATCAATACTTCCATCAGTATACAAAACGCAACAAGTTGTGACCTCAACGATTTCGAATTTGCATAATCCGTGGTTTAAATCTCGAATAGGCGAACTTAAAAGTTCCCCGGAATCGAAAAATAATAACAAACTAACGCCGTCGAATGAAAATTTCGTGTTAATATATTTTTGTTTCGGTTCGCAGAAAAAAGCTTCTAAAGTCCGGACGGTTTCGTCGGATTCCTGGACGTTTCCGGTTGGTGATCGTATAATTGGCACGGGGAATAAATCGAGAAGCTTTCCTTCCCCGATGTTATCCGCGTAAATAGCCAAAATTATAGCCAAATCTCTTTGTCCCAAAGTTATCTGAATTACGTCCATTATCCCATCGATTTCCCAACATTGGGAGCGAATTGATGAGTTTTGGGATGGTGTGAACCGTTTTATGTCCATGTTTAAGTTAACAGGTTCAATTATAACTTCCTAAAAAAAAATTTATTAATTAATTAAAAAGAGAAAGAACAACTGCGCCGAACTTAAAAAAGAAATCGAATAAATAAAGGAGCAATGCACTAAAGATAAAGCTACTCTTCAGAAACAATGATGACCTGAGGGCATTATAGAAGGTCAAAAAAAATCAACAAAATCTTAACCCTCCAGTAACCATCAAAGTAGTGAATGAAATTGAAAGCAAACCTGAAAAGCAACCCGTACAATCTGGCGTAAAAACAAAACAAAGGTATTACTACCCTCACCAATATTAATTTATAATGTCAAACAATATGATGACATTTATAAATTACTTAAAGCGTAATTAAAGATACGGCACAGTAAAACTGAATCTTAATTCGGAAGAAAAGTACAGAGAAGCATCAAAGATGCATACTGAAAAAAATTTGTCCTGGTCAACTTATGAAAATAAGCAAACCAGAAATCTGAAAGTGGTCGCTAAAAAGATGCATAATAGCTGTGATGTTAATGATATCAAAAATGATCTATTCGAGCGCAAGTATAACATGCGTGTCAAAATCGAAGAGTACAGAAAGCCAAAACAAATGCCCCGGTGCAATAGGTGTCCAGGCTGGAGACACACTAAAGCTTACTGCCACAAAAATCCAAGATATGTTAAATGTGCTGGTGAACATTGGACCAGCGAATGGACTAAAGCCAAAGAAATCCCGGCTAAATGTTTCAACTGTAGAGAAAATCATCCAGCGATCTACCGAGGATGCATTGTGATTAAGGAACTACAAGCCATCAAGAATAAGAAAACAGTAAATTCAAATAAAATAAAGCCAGGCGTCTCGTATGCCGAAAAAGCGAGTGGTGAAACTGCAGAGCAAACTGTAAGTACATTAATCGATAAGAAGGCTGACAATAAATTAGATCTAATACTAGAAAAAATACTTCAATAAGAAGAAACAATAAAACCATGATATGCACGTCTAGATTTCATTGAAAGCAATTTAAACCAAGGAGCGATTCAAAAAAGAAATCAAAATGTCTAAAAAGCAGCAACTAAAAATAATGCTGTGGAATTCCAATGGTCTTCGACATCATCAAAACACACCACCAATAATACTTAAAGAAAACAATATTGATATATGTCTTATCTCCGAAACCCACTTTACACGAGAATCGTATATAAACATCAACCATTACAATATTTATCACACAATTCACCCGAATAATGCAGCTCGAGGTGGAAGTGCAATTATTATTAAAAGGAATATTGACCACTATTTGAACAATACAATTAGTACTGAACAACACCACACTACAGCGGTAAAAGTTCAAACTGTTAATGGCTTAAGATCTGTAGGAGCAACATACATACCACCGAGAGATAATCTCAAAAGAGAAGATTATCAGAAAATTCTATTACATCTTGACAACAAATTTATACTTGGAGGAGACTTTAATGAAAAACATATGTCTTGGGGTTCTCGATTGACAAATACAAAAGTAAGAGAACTGAACCATGCAATAGAGGGCCTAAATTGTGAGGTGCTCTCCACTGGGAAGCCAACTTACTGGCCAACAGATAGAAGTAAAATTCCGGACCTGCTTGATTTTTTTATTACAAAAAACATATCGCTTAACTTCGTAAACATAGAAGAAGAGTTAGGGCTGGACTCAGATCACCCACCAATAATTATTACTCTAAATAACAAAGTATGTAACAACCCTTTTTATCACTAACTAATAAACTCACTAATTGGAATTTATTTCAACAAACATTAGATAGTAAAATTCATCTTAATGCTCTTATAAAAACAAAAACGAAGACATTGACAATGAAGTAGAACACTAAATTTATTAGAAACAAAATTGCAGAAAAACAGAAAGCAAGAAAGAAATGGCAAACCAACAGAATTCCTAGTGATAAAACTAAATTAAATAAAATAACAGCCGAATTAAGAGCATTAACAGATAGCCACAAAAAAAATAATATTCAAAATTACTTAAGAGACCTTACTGACGATGCCAGTACTGATTATTCTCTGTGGAAGGCAACAAGAAAGCTTAAAGTTCCAAAAACACATACACCTCCAATTCGAAATAATAATGGAAATTGGGCTAAGAGCAATCAAGGAAAAGTTAATTTGTTTGCTGAACATCTGAAAGAAACTTTTACATCAGACAGTCCAACAACTATGCTAAATAGTGTCCATGGCGTAATTCAGAGTGATCAGCAGAGTAATATACCATGTTTAAGAATGAAAGAACTGTCTTATGAAATACAAAAACTAAATATAAAGAAATCAATAGGCTATGACCTAATTAATGGAGAAACATTGAAACATCTAACAAAACGGGCGATTACAAAACTATTACACATAATTAATACTGCTTTTAAACAGAAATACTTCCTAAACATATGGACAGTTGCTGAAATAATAATGATATTAAAACCCCCCACAGATGTTACATTATATGTATAGGCCAATCTCATTATTACCCTTACTATCAAAACTGCTTGAAAAAATACTATTAAAAAGATAAAAACTGTCATAAAAGAAAAAGCTCTAATACCGACATATTAATTTGGGTTTCGGAATAAACATGCAAGAATAGACTAAGTGCAAAGAATAACGAATACTATCGAAATAGCAATGGAAGAAAATAAAGTCTGTTCCGCCGTATTTTTGGATATTGCACAAGCTTTCGACAAAGTCTGGTTAGATGGTTTAAATTACAAACTAGACTAAATACTACCATAGTCAACTATTAAAATCGTATCGTTCTGATCGATATTTTAGAATAAAATACGAAAACGCTTATTCACCACTACATGAGATACAAGCCGGAGTTCCTCAAGGAAGTGTGCTACATTCGCAGATGACACAGCGACCTTGGCTGTTGCTGAAAATGAAGCCAAACGATGGCTAATAAAACTAAATACAAATAAGTCGACATACATAAACTTTACTTATAAGAAAGTAAACTATGTTCCAGTACACATAAATGGCAATGCAGTCACCGCTAAATATCTTGGTATGACGCTGGATGTCAAACTCAAATGGAAAGCCCATGTCAAAAAAAAACGTGAGGAACTTGATATCAAATTTAGACATCTATATTGGCTTATTGGCAGAAAATCAACGCTATCACTAAGAAACAAGTTGCTAATATACAAGCAAGTATTAAAACCAAAATGGACATACGGAATCCAACTGTGGGGTTGTACCTGCAAGACAAATGCAAGTCTAATTCAAAGATTCCAGAACAAAGTACTAAGGTGAATTCACTCTGGTATATAAGAAACACCGACCTCCATCGCGACTTGAAAGTAGCATCGGTGTAATCAGAAATTGCATCATTCGCATCTAAACATCGAAGCCATCCAGCTTCTCGACAACGAGGATGTCCTGCGTCGCCTTCAGAGGATGAAGACGTTCCATTTAGTGACCTAGTGCCCTAGTCGATTCATACGCGAGCAATAGTGCAGAATTATAACAAAAACAATAATACCCTAAACGTGTGTTCCGCGTATCGCAGTGTTTTGGTCTTAAAACGGTAAAAATATGACAATATTTATCTATATTATGGGTAAAGTAGACTGAACCACCGCAAAACATTATCTAGTTTAATTTGGTGTTATAAATAAGTAACTAATTAGTATGTATTTACTAGGTGTTATACAATAAGGAACTTTACAAAAAAAATAAATGGGAAAAAATTATTACATATCATAAGTATATTGTATGAAAACACGTATCAGTAAAAAAACTATTTTTTTCTGTCTCAAACGGCCACTATAAATAATTTTTCCGTCGACCGTGTATTTATATGATTTATAAATGTATACAAAATCATTCATTAATGACACCTATTAATAAACGATTTTCTATTAATAAACGATTTTAAGAAAGTCCGACCGAACTAAATAGTAGTCAATTTAATAAATATTCTCCAATGAAATTTGTAATACCGACCCAACCGACCACTATATCTATTCGGTAAGACTACAAAAATAAATTATGACACATTAAAAGTGAGGTTATTTTGCCAGTGACAGAATTGGGAGATTTTTCAACGATGGATTTTCTCTATTTTGTTGAAAAGACGGTCAACGGAAAAATATTGTAACTAACTCGTATATTAAAATGCGATTAATTATCTCAATAATTAACGCGTTCGCTTCGCTTCGCTCGCTCACGCGTTAAAATATCTCGATAATTAATCGCCTTCATTAATAGACTTGTTGGTTAAATAACTATAAAATGCCATAAAATTGAAATTATTCCAAGCGGCTTTAAACGCGCTGCTATTGGTCGTGACGTAAAAGAGTATGATCTGTGAACAACGCCCATGAGAAAAGTTAGGTTATTTATAACACATTAATAAGTTTGTTTATCACGTTTTTGTCAGTATTTCTTTGATTTTGTAGTTAATTGTGCCTCATATCTTTGAAATTTTTGTTGCTTGCTGTAATTTTTATAAATACCATACCTACTATGACTGAAGAAGGATATTCTAAAGGCCAATCTGACAATCTGCCTTTTGTTGATATGTTTGATAGCAAATTTTTTAAAAAACTGTGAAACTTTCTCCCTTGGAGAAATTCGTGGTGTTAAAACAAATAAGTATAAATATTGTTATATGTACAGGGTGAGCAAATTTGGGTGTTATTATAGGCTATCTCAGAAACTATAAGAGATACGAAAAAAGTAGGTGCCATGTCCCGGTCTCTTTTTTCGAGACTAACCCCATCCCGCAAACACCAAACCTCTATCTTCTTTTGTTTTTAAGTTATAGCCAAAAAGTCAAATTTTCGTGATTTCAAAAAATGCTCATATTTCGTTTATTTTTGAAATTAGAGAAAT